CTTAATTACAAATTATTTTTAACTTCGGCCCGACGGTTGGGTAGCACTCACAGCATTAGATAAGTCAAGTAATTTGTAGACAAGTTTAACTAATATATTTCGCGTTTTAAGCGGTTAAAGTGTTTTATTAAAATCCCGGCACAAAATAATCAGAGGTAGCATAAACAGACCGTTAGCGAGTGAATTGTAAAATAGCCGAAAGCCGCGCTATACCGCGCCCATACATCACGCGATTCCATTCTAATGGTAATTCGGGATACGGCCCGATATTGTGCCGGTCCCTCCATAACAAATGTTTATTTTATACACAACGCCACTAACAATAGTGTGCAAATACCTAAACAGCGTAAATGGCGGCGCGATGCGATTTAGACGATAATGCCGCAGATATTAAAATGGATTGTGATTTCCTTGTTTTCATAGCGGTCTCGATATTGCGTACTCCCATTTCGGATTTGGCCAATTAGTTATTTGTGATTTGCTAGTTATTAGCGGTAGTTAGACAGGTTCGTTAGTCATTAGTAGCAATGTATAATATACAAGTCGTGTCAGCGACTTCGTCCGCGTAGAATAGTTATTTTGGGTATCCAAATTAGTTTTTGCAAACTTCCTCTTCATCTTTAAAAATTTTAATCTGTTACCCACGACGTCGGTCGCGTCCCGTCGTTTTTTCATGTTAATCTTAAACGATAGACATATAGCGTCGCGGACTTTTTCAAGACAAAACTCTTCAGGACAAGATTCTTTGTTAAGTATATTGTTAAATATGTATATAACATTTTAACGAATTTATATATTTATAGGAGATTTTTTCGTGTTCATAAAACTTTAATTAAACTGATACATACTCGTTGATATTAATACATATTGCAAACGAAATAATGTATTAAGGACTACCCTTGTAAAGGTAGTATACGGAAATCCCGCCGTGACCACGGCTGTTGTGAAAGCCTCCGATGTTAAAATAATTAAAAGTAAGTTTATTAATATATGTCACGTTTTAAACCGTTAAAAGTATTTAAAAGACACAAACAATGGTTATAATATTTATACGATGAGACCAGATCGTAATTAAACTGAATATGCATAGAGTATGAAGGCAAAACACAACCGATATACATAATTCTAAAATGTACGAGCATGTTTAATTTGATATTTAAAGGTGCCCCTACACCTGACAGCCTCATACATATTCATGTCAGGTGATTAATCATCCCCTTTCACCCCAAAACACCTCCAAGACTCCGCTGCGCACGAAATTTCGCGAAAATGTATAATGAAGTATTAGTTATGCATGTCATTGCAATTTGTTAGGAATATTCGAGCGTAAATTCTAAATTGTTCGTAAATAATTGCGTGGATTGTTCGCGTGTGTTGAAATATTGCGCTAGCTATTTCGACTCGTTTGAAACTGTTTAAAGGGAATCATTAATTGAATAGAAATTAAATGTAGATTCTTATAGGGGGTGGTGGGGCTATCAAGAATTATGTTTAGTAACGAGCGGAGCTGGGTGAGAGCTTGGGGAAATAATAGATTGTTTAGGTCGCCCATATGACAGGATTTCAACAAACTCGCGTTTTTTCTAGCATTATCTTATTTTGGCGACCAGGCTTCCGACAATTTCTGTGATGTTTTTCATTCATTTTAGGTCCTAACCCACATTGGTATGTAGCTTGTTAATTTTTTCTTCCTCAACCATTCACTTGATTAAAACGCAAATCAGAATATAATATTATTTACTAAAATTATGAGAAGATATTATAGCTTATATGTAAGAGTAGCAGACAAATTGAAACATTATTTTAACAAATTAATTATTGTTAATTTGAAATTGACCGACAGCTATCAACTAGTACATTTATTCATTCACTTAAATTTTTTTTGTGACCTTATTACCAGTTTTTAACAATACATCTAAACCCCGACCGCAAATCAGTTACCCGCGGTTTTAATTAAATATTTTACAATGATTTACGTTTGAGATTAAAGGCGCGTGCCCACATTTTTTTTATGAAGCTGTACTGACGATTGTTGAAAAAAATTAGCATACGGAAGCGATACAGTGGTGACATCTGGGGGGCGTGACGTAAAAGACGCATGACTATGCAAATATGCGCAGGCGATTAGTGATCATTGCGTATTACAACCCTAATGCGTTTTCATTCTGCTCGTAGGCGGGCCTAGCATTCTTTGGACTTAAATAAAATACTGTAGTAACTTCAGACGATATCTAAACTTCAAAAAATATTTTTTATATTAGCCAAATTAAAAAAGTTTTATACTTTAAAAAATTTAATATTTTTCACGTGATGGTTCTATATGCTTAAAATAAAAGATTATAACGATTATAAATTGATTTAAAAAAAATACGACACGGACAGGGCTTGAAACGGCATCGACAGCGTTCCGTGCTGTTGCTCCAACCGATTGACACAGTAGCGCAATGGAACATGGAGGGTTAAATATCTCAGTTATATAACATTTTAACAAGTTGCGCTGTCGACCTATTTTGGCTTTCAACATTGGGAAAACCAGGTCTGCAACCGAAACCCAATCAAACTTAACGGCTTTTCCATACGGTTCGTGACATGTTAATATCGTGATTTCCAGACGAAGTCCAACATGATTCACAAAAATAAATTACATTTATAAAAATGTTAGACACTTCATTATTAGTTAACACTAAACCAACCTAAAATTACCTACCTCTTCTTCAGATTAGAAGCATGTTGCCAATAGCGGTCGAACCCACGTCCCGTTGATTATCAGCCATTGCCATATACCGCGTCTAGCCTGGGCCATATTAGATAAGCCATCAAAGGCGTAACTCAGTTATCATATACAAAGCGTGCTGTCACCGCTAGTGACGCCGTCGTAGGCAATCGAGTCGCAATCCGTCAACGCGTCCCGGGAGACGGGCATCGGCCCACACTAATTTGTTTCACTCCGCTTATTCTATTAGCGCCAAGTTGTGTGGAAAATCGCTAGCAATAATTAGGGAACATTGAGTATTAATTTAAATTTATATCAAGATTTATAGTTAACTCGAGCGTTATCTAGAGTTTTATTCCATTTTTAACTACTCTCTTCTATAGATAATTAGAAATATTTAACCAAAAAATCATGTCGTCCTCATCAGTTACCTCATTTTTACGGTTTTAATTAATAACACCCAATATCTGAATAGATACTAATATAAAACCTATTCAGAGACATTTTTAGAATTACAATAAATATAAATATTTCAAAAATTATTTTTGAAATATTTATATTTATTGTAATTCTAGTTATTTTGTCATGCTACATAAAAACAACCAGTTTTTTATGTAGCATGACAAAATAACTACTACGGTGCCTATAATATTAGGCTTTTTAGGTTATTTCCGAAAACTTACAAGCTGGTATAATACGTATGTATTATAGATATATTTAAAAAAACTCGCATGGGATAGTGTAAATGTAAAAGATCGCTCGTCGCAAATTATAATTGCGCAACGTGAAAACAAAACAAAATTCAATTTAAAACGATATACGAAACGGAACGTTAAAACATCGTTCATCGGAATGGATCGTCAATCCATTGCGAGCCGATATATTTTCCACTACGTTGAGTCAACAGCAGGCATTCATCGGTGCAATGAAAATATTGCCCATTTATCTTTTGTTTTTCCAAAACTCAACTCTTTAAAAGGGCGCTCGCTGTTCATTCCATTTTCCAGATATGAGAAATCACTATTTTTCCGACTACGCTCTGACAGCTAATGGATTTTTTATCCAATTTCGAAGCCGTGTTGTTTTATTGTCATTCCGATGTTATAACGAATGAAGTTATAGATTCATTAGTTGTAATGAAATTATATTCGTTTTGTATAAAAATATATCAACAGGGACTTAAATAGAATATACACAAATGTTTAGTATATATGCAGCAATTTAATATAATAATATTTTCATTGCAAAAGTGGATTAACATCCACTAAAATAGAATACATATTATTACAAACGAATATTTGGAGAACCACCACACGAGCGGAAACCACACCACGAATCTGGTAAACTTAAAACACCTTTCATTGTGTACATGAAAGATTACTTTGTGATTTATTTTTCTGTAAATAAAAAATGCAATTACATGTTATCGTAAAATGTCTCGCGATAAAGTTTAAATATTATACATAAATATTGCATTAAAAATGTATTAATGTAAACGCCATCTAGTGTCCAATAGTACAATTACTATAACTATTTTCGAAACTGTCCTTTTTACTACTAGATGGCAGTTAAAACAATTCATAAAATACAGACTATATCCATATTGCTCTTTTTATTGCTAATATAAAAATATTTGTATTATGTTTATTATCTGTGTATATTTTTCTCAATAGAAAATTCATTCTCTTATTTATACATGTATTAGTATTTAATGAAGGATCTTCACTCTTCCTTATAAATAAAATTAGCCAGCATGATTGTATAAAAAAGTATTATTTATTATTTAAATCCCATTTTAGCCCCCATATCAAGAAAAGTAACATAGTATAAAATAGGGTAAACACATCACAGGTATTAAAATAAATGCTAGAAGGTAGAATAGATCAGATTTTTACAATTCACACCCGTTCTTAGAAAATAAAGAGTACAAAAAAACATAAAATACAATTACGATATATGGTTCATGAGACTTAAATTATTGTCAACCTTAAAATGTCACACTTTATATTGTCGCATTTTTATATTTACTATAATTTAATACAACTACATATAATTAATTTGAGCATATTGTATCAATTGAGAATTGTCTACATTTTATAATAAGCTACGTTATTTTACAATATTTATTTATACTACAACCGTTTAGGCACGATGGTATTTTTAATAACTCATTTGGAACCCGTGATTTGAAACGATCATGTTAAGATTGTCTCAAACAGGGGAATTTCACATCGACTGTCGCAACATTCCAGAAGATTAACGTTCTAGAATATTCTTTACGATCGGTCTAGAATATCCTCATGTTGTTGGCGCAGCCGTGGTTCATGCGGTATTGGACGTACATCATTGCGGTGTTGTGCCAGTAGTAAAGAGCGCCAAGAACGAGGACGTGCCACCACTGATGCGAGTGACCAATGTAATCGACCTTTCCAGGGAACCAGCGCTCTGGAATCTAGAAAAATTTAAGATTATAAAATTCCTTTATATAAATTAATGTTAATAGCGTCTAGATTATGCCACTAATAAAAACATGATCGATGTAATTATAATTAACAGTTAAAAAAGCGACATATAATCCCTCCGTCGTGACTACGAGTATATTTCGCTTTTAAAACCGTTAAGTGTAGTAACCGTAAGTTAAGTATTATTCAACTCTACTCTTTAATGTAGAATAGTATCTAATGTACTACTCTCATAACTACAGACAATACTTATATTATAACTTTGCCTGTTACCGTGGGATTCGAACCCGACACTTCTCAATTCATTAACGTAATGCTGAGAACTAAATCGGTCGTTAATAAAATGCCTCTCTTTTGTGGAATTGTTTTAAATGAATAACATCATTGGTACTGTCTGTAGTTTACCCAAGTAGGACACATGTAAATGAAACATTTTTAACAGTTTAAAACGCCAAATACATTCGTAAAACTTATTAACAAATTATTTTAACTACGGTCCGACATTTCGAACCGTGCTTTGCATAGTTTTCTTTAAACATTATTGCTATTATGTACAGTATTCTGACAAGGGTAGTAAAAATATTGTTCCTTACCTTAAAGGCATAGATGGCAAACGCGGTGCCACTTATAATGTACATTCCTATCACTCGGGGGAAGAACATCTGTAACAGAAACAGTTTTGTCACTAAAGCTTGTTTTCTTAATGTAGGTTTTGGACGCCTTACAATATTGACATATTACTTAAAAGAAATCGCAAAATAAAAATGTAAAGTCTGCCTTTTATATAATGCCATATCCATACGAAAAATGAGGGCGTTTAATTGATGAGTTCTTTAACAGGCAAGTATAGCCCGAGATCCGAACCCAGGACTGCTCGTCTATGATAGGCAACACAAAAATTCAGCTACAGAGGCGGTCGAGGTAGCTAGATGTCCAATAGTCTAAAACTACGAGTATCTATAGCATTGGTTCTCAATAAGTGTTTGCTGCACACTACTTTAAAAAAATTGGCAGAGCAGCGTACCCATTACTGCAATATTTACACATTATGAGATGGGTGTCTTTCTTCACGCTCAAACCTTTTGACCAAGTTTGATAAAATTTCGTGTACAAGTACTTGACATCCTGGCTTTACCGGTTATTTCAGAAATCGTTCCTGTTCTGTCCGCCAAAGAAGTACTACTATGTGAATTATTATCTAAAAAAAAGTATCTAGCAAAATCGATATATACCTCAACCATGGGGTTGTGGAAACCGCCCATTACGTATGTCCAATGTAGCGTGGGAACTACTCCATATGCTGCCCAGCCAATGAACACGCACATCTTCACCAAGTAGGGCACCTCGAAGCGAGGGACCTGCAGCAGCATTGCCACTGTGAAGATGACGGTCACTGACAGCATGTAGAAGGTTTGGAGGCTCTGGAATATAGAATAGTTCAATTGAGCAATAATATATACAAGAATATATATCACATAATTGGTTGCTTAATTAATTCCCACCGCTGGGATTTGGAGACACTGCGACTTGACTATGTAGAGTAGAAACTATATTAAGATATAGTGTAAGGAACTAGCCTTAATCTAATGTTTTATTTGTATTTATTAAATACAGAATAAAGAGTTTGTTTATGTGTTTAACCGCGCTACTGGAACTAGTATATAATTTTTTTTATGGTTTAGAGAATTTATCGAGGAAGGCTTTAGTCTAAAAAGCATCGCACTGCGACCGATAGAAGCGAAGAAACAGTGGGAAACGTGGAAAAAACGAAGAAAATTATTCATTTTTATTTATTTATTATTTATAAACTTATTCTGCCTTGGCATCATCTTTGTTAGAACGGTTCAAGATAACAAAAAAAATGCGTGAAAGAATGATTTCTCTTTACACTATCTAAAAAAAATGTCCGCGATAGTATATGTATATATTTTAAGATTAACTTGTAATAACGACGGGACGCGGACGAAGTCGCTTTCAGCTATTATGTGGATATTTCTAACATCTGTTTGATATACAAAACAACTGAAAGTTATTTTAAATTGTATGTTTTATAAGTATTGGAATGAGCCGTGCGATCATTTATTGCTAATGTATTATTGTAACATGTAAATACATAATATGTACATTTGATACATTAAAAAATAGTTAGCTTAAATACATTTTAATAGCTTAAGTCATATTAATAATATTTACACAATACTGCATTTATGTATTCTTATTTATTTTATTGTAGTATACTAGCCACTGAACTTCTCTCATACTTTATGTACTAAATACTACTGAGTGTACTAGTGAGTGTTAGTTAAATCCTGTTATTTGACACTAACGTTTAGATATTGTTTATAATATATTATAATATTATAAATGCGAAAGTAACTCTGTCTGTCTGTCTGTTACTCTTTCACGGCAAAACTACTGAACGGATTTGAATGAAATTTAGTACACAGATGGTTTAGACCCTGAGAAAGAACATAAGCTTTTTATTGCGAAAATGGGGTTGTAAGGGGTTAAAAGGCGGACGAAAGTTTGTATGGAAATCATAGTTTTTGGAGCTAGAACAATGAAACTTTCTTCTTTAACTTTCTTCTTTAGCTTTGGGAATAAGAGTGGGAGTGGGGGGTAGGAGTGGGAGTGAAAGTGGGGGTGAGAGTGGGAATTAGAATAGGAGTGATGTGAGGTGCGAGTGTTGCGGCAAAGTATCACTTACAACATAGATTGGCTGCGACAGAATGCGCAATTACATAAATTAATAAACGGCCTAAATAATTAAAAATTCTACCCCAAGTCACTGTTCCACGCGAACGAAGTCGCGGGCACAGCTAGTTGTTTATAAAGTGTTTGAAACGTGAAGTTTGTACGATCTGTGGGACGAGTTGTACGCAGTTAATAAAAGTGTTCGCCCAAAAGTAAATAAAACACTAATATGAGCGATGTTTCATACGTTTCATACAGCTTGAAATGGGTAAATAATCATTTTCCATTAAAATTTACCTCATGTTTGTAACATGTAACATTTTGTGATGCACTGATTGTCAGCGATTACTTTTTTATTGAATGGAGACTGCGTCGCTGTAATGGCTAATTATAAATAATTATATGTACGTTTTCTCTTGTACGTGGACGTTGAAGCGAGGTTTATATCGCTTTAGCAATCTGTATTTCGGGTCCGTCTTGTTATCTCTGTTATCTGTTTAAAATCCTGTTTATATTGATTATCGCTGCTTTAGAGGTCTTTGTAAGTATCAATTAATGATGAAATAGCAAAAATGTTAATTTAAAACAGTTTTAAAAAAAGGAGGGCAGACAAACATGGTGTTACTTTATGTGGTAACACACCTCAGGATAACATCTAAATAACATAACTTAAGCATGGTCTGAAGTGTACGTGAGTACTGTTTTTAAACACGTAGCCAAATGGTTAAACGTATTGCCTAGAATTACGTTAAGCACGAGAGATCCTGGGTTCGAATCCCTAGGAAACGAAAAGTTGTTTCGGTCGGGCAGGGCACAGCAGTCTCATCAAGTACCTGCTTGCTGAACGGATTAATGAAACGGGCACAGAAATGTGTTCGCCCCATTCGAGAAACGGGATTACACACAACTTACTAAAATACTTGTTTTCAATACGAGTTTTTTACGTTAACAACCTTATGTACGTTGTATGTCTCTCGTTTCTACGTCAATAATTACCATAAAGCCCCATTACTAGCGCGGACAAAGGCACGTTTCGCAAACAAGGTAGATACTTAGAAGACGTATATTTACCAACATTAAAACGTGTTAACAAGAACGCGGCTCCTTCCGTACAGCTATGACGTCCTTTCAATTATAATTTTAATTAGGTTTTTTGAAGTCAGGCGGATTAACAAACATGTGATCCACCTTACAATGTAATATAACTAAAAATATAGTGTCTGTTCGTCTTTGGCTTTAAACGCTGAAAGTTACTTAAAAAGTCATAAAGGATAAAATTTTGTTTGTAAACAATTGAATAAATAAAATAAATGTAATCTATACATAATGGTTTGGGAAAGGAGTATAGGAAGGGGATTTGTTATATTTATTTTAGTTTAGACAAATAAATAATTCTTTTTAACTTTATGTTACCCTTATTATATTTGAAAACTAAAAAATTAATCAATATTTAAATTACGTTATTAAATTTTGACCTTAGAGCTAATTTAGTAGTATTCACAGTTGATACACCTAAATAAGAAAGGAAGCAGTAAAGTAATAAACGTAAAAATGAACCACTGATGGTTTGAAATACTGTAGTAATTAATCAAAACAAATTTGCATAATTGTCATGATTACGTCAAAACGAAGATTTCAAACATCCGGGAAGCTGGCTCTAAATGAATACTCTTTTCTTGACTCCGTCGTAACTCCGTATAATAACGTCTTATATATAGAATTTACTGTCGTGTTACGAAATTATAATAGTAAGATCGAGATATAGTAATTAGAGGACAGAGGCAGCAAACATTTCGTTTTGATTACTCTAGTAGTCGGGATTCAGGAGTAACAGAGCTTTATAATAATAATGTCAGATCTTCTACAGCATCAGATAATACCTTCGAAGAATAATTTGTAGTAGTAAAACTATAAACAAAGTAAGACAAAAACTCTAAACTGTTTTTTTATGTGAGCATAGATTAAATGTGAGCATAGACATATCACAAGAATTTCTCGGACCATATATAAAAATAATTCATTACAATATTATATCGAGTCTACGATGTTATGCATAGTAAGGGTACTATCTCACTCACAGGAGTGATATTATGCGATAATTAAATAAAACATTTAACTTTGATTCGGGTTGCGAGCATAATATAACATCCAACACGGACTCAAAATTATGACAAATGTCGGGCCTCACAAGAGATATTTATTCCAAATGCTTAACTGAAGTAACCAAACAATTAAGGTTCAAACCCTTGAACCACTTGCACTGATTCTACCCAGGTAAAGGTCAAGTTTCCAAGAACGTGTTTTGCAAGTGTGTAGAGAACGTTGCTACACAAATCGCTGGACTGAATCAATTATTGAATACCTAATTGAACTGGTTATACTGTAATATAGAATTTACTAGAACATAATGACATCTAATGTGTATCTGTGTTAATGGTGAAGGTTTGTAACGTCTGCCGTTTGCGAAAATTGTGCGAAATTTTGTAATCTATGAAATTGCTATATTTGCGAAATGCTTTATTATGTAGCGGAGTTTTTGATTAATAATAATTAAACAGTTTTAAACGTTAGGTTGTATATCTAAAGTTGCATCTGTGGAATCACTAGACACCCGTTATATCATAAAGAATAGAATTTAGGATTAAAGGGAGAGAAGAGATCGTAAACATTTTCTTTTAAGAATTTATAAGCAAAGTAATGTGTCTAGCTGTTTTTTGAAGTAACATAGTTGAAATACATCCATTGACATTAATTTAGTTTTGATTAGTTGTAATCAAAAATGTCTTATGGGGAAAGTTGTTTGCGTAAAGTTGCAACCGTGTAATAATTCAACATTCCTCGTATCAGGTAACGTAAAACAAAGAAATTAAGATAATAATCACCGAAGAGATTGTCAACATTTTTTATGGAAAAATATTTTATTGTGTGTATTTTGTAAACAGATTAATGTGTTGTGCTGTTTCTTGTTAATATTGGGTAACATAGTTAAAACAGATCGATGGTCAAACGATTGTGTGAATGGTAGGAGCCAAATACGTGATTTTTTTTTATTACTTTATGTACCCTGCAGATAGCGTGTAGCCGTAGCTTAGTAAATAACGTATGTAGAAACCGTAGTACACATTAAGGTCATTGCTATAGCGCAATAGCGAGTTAGCGTCCGAACTCCGGCGCAAGATAATAATGTACCTCTATGAACTGTTTTGTGAAAGTCGTGACGTCACTACCTTAACGCATCTGTCGGCTTTCCTTTTCAAAAAGACGTAATTGCGGACTATTATAATGTTCTTAGTGCAGAACCTATGACTGATTTAGTTTGGTTTTTTCATCTTTCAAATAGTAATTCGTACGGAGAAAATTCCAGAAGTTTATTATACCAAAGTTGCTTAACAAGTAAAGAATAAAAACTGTATTTTAATAAAACACTTTAACGGTTTAACACGTGATATATATTAGTTAATCTTATTTAAAATTATTTAATTTCTTAACTTCGGCCCGACATTTCGCATGCTTTACAGTAGCCGTGCTGTATCAAAGGTTTAACTTCAATTAAAAGTGAGAATTTAAATAGAGTACGAACGAAGATTGTAACTAGGAAACTAAACCTTTATTGACTTTGGCACCGCATAGAATCCTTACAAGTATTATAAATGAGAAAGTAACTCTGTCTATCTTTCTGTCTGTCTGTTACTCTTTCACGCCAAAACTACTGAACGGATTTGAATGAAATTTGGTTATTACGAAAAAGCGATTGTAAGGGGTAAAAGGGGGGTGAATGTTTATATGGAAATGCGTGGTTTTTGAAGCTAGAACAATGTAACTTTCTTCTTTGGCTTTTTGGGAATAGGAGTGGGAGTGGGAGTGAGAGTTAGAGTAGGAGCGATGTGAGGTGAGAGTGTTGCGGCAAAGTAGCACTTACAACATAGATTGGCTGCGATAAATGAGCAATTACATAAATTAATAAACAGCCTCAATAATTACAAATTCTATCCCAAATCACTTTTCCACGCGAACGAAGTCGCGGGCACAGCTAGTCTTAAATAAGTTATAATGACAGCAATGAAGCGAGATGATTTGAGACCGAAGACTGACTTTCACTTACATCGACGACTTTTACTTCAGACAAGTAAACTTAAATATTCATGCTCGCAAAAATACCACTTCGTCTTCTAATTCGTCATTCGTGCAAAACCAAATAATTTAATTCACTAATTTCGACTCTCCGATTGCCTTAAAATGAAAATAAGAAGTGTAATCACGTGTTTTCATTACATTATCACATTTCTTATAATTCAGCCTTCAAACTGCGTGAACATTTGACATTTCATATTTATAAGATATAATATTATTTTAGTTATGTTTGTTATGAAATTTTTAATATTTTTTTCTTGTAAAAAAAATCGGGTTACAAGAATACAATGGTTTTCAATTTACTAAACCGTCTGTAAAGACACAGTTATGCTTTTAAACTTAATTAGAGCAAAATCTTAAATTCTCAGTAAGTAGCGCGTATTAATAAATAATACATGTATTCCCAAATTAAACAGTAAATTAGGGGTGTGAGTCCTGTTCCCAACCAAACAATTCACCAGACGTCGAACCCGGGACACGCATAACGCAATTCTGAGCAACGCATTGACCATTATGTCATTGAGCCGGTTCCAAAATTAGCAATAAAATGTATTATTGTATTATATGCGTTTTACTAGTTACTGCCTATGTTATCAAATTCTGTTCATGTTTTGTTGCATTCTGCAGTTTATGGAGGTTGTGATAAGGAAAATGAGTCATGAAAGTATTTTAATTTATTTCTACATTTATTAGGACACATTCTTCAACTTTTAAAGCAGTAATACCAACCGAAGTCTATGGTTTTACTTGCTTGTAATATTACCGTTATCTATTTGTATACCGTCAATATATAACATTACAGGTCATATTATAACAGTAAAATGACGGTACAAAACCTCTCAGCTGTAGATGGTATGGATTGTGGTATTTACAGCACATAAGTCAATTTCGCCCCTACTGTATAAATAATCAGTGGATTTTCTTATTTGAAGAAATCCATAGATAAATGATAAGAGCTCGCAAGAAAGACTTACCCAAATGTAAGCAAGTGTAATAACAGTGATTTTCGATTAATTTAAGTTTTACTTAACTCAAAGCAAAACTGAGGTCGTTGAACGCTTTTGATTCATTATTAAAACAATTTAATTTCTGGTTTAAGAACAATGAGTACTAAGTGAGAATACTGAACAAACTTAGTGAGCTTTTACGAAAGCAGGACTACTGGGAAAAACCTAATGAGTTACCCTATATACAAAAGTAAAAAAACAGCCCAACGTTTGTAATGTATCTGCCAAATCTAAAGACTACGATGACTGGTAGAACAGAAGAGAAAAGACACTTTCAAAACGACTCTTATATCTGTTAGGTCTTATTCAAGCATTATTCAAGCTAAGCTATAGAATTAATTGTAAATTAACTATTACTTACATCAGATGAGATTTGACACATCGCTTACTTTAAAAGTAAGATTAAATGTTCCCTGAAATTTTTTAACGAGTGACCTAATTCAATTTTCTTTTGTATTGTTTAATGTGGAAATGCGAAAAATGTGCTTTATTTTTTTTTGTTCTTCTCCTGACTTCTTTTTTAGTGTTGTGTTTATGTGTTAATTGCCAACGTTATTGATTTTCTGGTGAATATATTTTTCTAATTGTATGTATACGTATATATATATGTAAGAATAATAATATATAAGTGTAACAGAACGCATACATAGTTTCGTCTTGATTAGCGTAGCTTAAAAGTTTTAAAAATGTGTACATTCACGAATCAGCGATTTTACCGTCAGTAACTGCTAGATCGTGATTTTTTACAACAACAAATATTGTTTTTAAACAAAAGGTTTATTTTTAAATTCCAGTCCATACATTAATTACGTACACAGACACGTGTTTTTCTCATCCGCCATGTGACTGGCCGAATGGCATTGACCATTATAAAAGAAAAGTACATATTTTTACCTACATTTAATTAGGGTTGCTACATGAGAAGTAAAAGTGAGATTCTTTGCGTAAAAAAGGAGCAACAAATTTATTAAGTACACGTTTATTTTTAATGTTAACATGTTTTAATAATAAGGACTTCGTAGTCAGTTGGTTTAGATAATAGTTGTGAAGTTAATTTATTAATCTGTCGTAAATATTCCAAAATCTCAATCAGCACTGCAATCATTAAATTAACTACGTATTTAAGTATATTGTATGTGTGTAAAAAATTGAAGCAAAGACAAGAAATGATAGTATATATTATAGTAGCGAAAAAAATCTTGAAGTATTCTCATCGTCTCCACATTTCAGTACAGTACAGTAAATTGTCGATCTCATTTAGAAATTTACCCAATCCACATCGTTTTAAGATTTCCGGTACAATAGGTAAGTTTTAAGGTCTAATTTACAAAAGGTTTTAGTAATAAATTTCTACACACTAAAACTGTTGTATAATTAAGTGAACGCCAAACTAAGCTAATTGTAAGGCGAATCTACAAATGATAATTGCAGTAATTTGCAATATCAACAACAATCCGGTTCTGATATAATTTTTACTACCTCGTTATTTAATTAAAACACGATCTCTGTCGTGCTTTCGCGATTACTACCTTATTAGATAAAATCCATTTTAATTACGTTGTGATCTATATGAAATGTAATAAACAAAAGTAAATTACTTAATTTTTTATCGCATTACAATTTTTACCAAACAACGTGTATGTACCAAACTGATTTTATTACAACTTTTAATTGTTAAAAAATTCAAAAATAAACGATTAGATTTCTAAACATAATAATAATAAATTAAGATTATCAATCGACTAATTGGTATCTAAGTCTCTAACTCTGTTATACGTTGGCCTATATTCAACACGTTTTAGTTTATAAATACAAGTTACGTATCGTTTCCGGCTTATGTAATAAATTTGTATTTTACCTTTTATTTCTACATTCTTAATGAGATAATTTATGACCCGTGCAGCACAAAGAAGACAGCTGGATTTAACGTTTTATATAGTACCAGCTGATTCAGCTACTAAACGAAACTACCGTTGCTTGCACGATTAATATTATTATGTTGATAGAACTCTATTATAAATTATTGGTAATAATGCATTAATTTCGGCTAATTTCTTTACCAATTATCATATCGGGGATTTTTATAAGATCATTTAAAGAGGAATTATTTCATGAAAGCTCTTTGCAACTCACGCAACGGAAGCCCTCAAAGATTTATATACTCAGTTTCTCAGTTTTATTACCCTCTTGTTGATCGCGGCGTGATGTTTTATAGTGTCTAATAAAAGCCTCTATATTTCGTCTATACATAATTTTTCAATTTGAAATAGTAAGAGAAAGTTGCTGAGATTAGCGCGGTCAAACAGACAAACTCTTCAGCTCTATAATATCAGTATAGACCGTAGACTAAAGAGTATAGATACTTACATGATTACACCAGAAGGCATAGTAAATGCCTGACGTGTAGATAGCCAGCAGCGAGAGAGCGATACCGAAGAGGTCGTACATCAGAAATGTGTTGTAATCAGGTTCTGAACGACACGAGAACGTGTGATAGAGAGCAGACAGCGCCATGCATATCTGTAAATGAAGATCGTAATTTGTTAAATTATTTCTTATTCGTGTTTTCTTATACGTACGAAGTTTAAAAAACGAGCAAGTGCGGGTCGGACTCGGTCACGAAGGGTTACTTAGTACTTATTGACACCGAGCAAAAATAGGTAACAATGACGGTTTTTTGACCTCTTAAATATTCTTATTTCTTCTTCATAATTGTAAAACTATTATGTAATTTAAAATTCGAAAATAAATTGAAAAATTTTTCGACTCGGGCAGGACTTGAACTGGCATCGTCAGCGTTCCGTGCTGTGTTTGTGTGTTTAACACAACTGACTTCTTTAAATAATAATATAGTATATAGTATAGTATAGAGTTATATAACAGAAACATTTCATACACGGCTCGAAGTAAATTAATTTGCGTCACAAATTCCACACCATTAAAAGGCATACACAGCTAATACTAAGGAAACTTCTATGTGTACTCTGATAGCGGAATATAGTACGATATGTGTCGAAACTAAGCAAAAGTGTAAAATAGTTTTATCCCTAACTAGCTTTGCCAGCGACTTCGTTATTTTCGGTACCCAATTTAGTTTTTGCGAGCCCCGTCATCTTTATAAACGAAGAAGCGAAGATATACTTCTTTTAAGATTAACTTGCAAGAACGACGGGAAGGGATGTGACTGACGTCGTGGATAACAGCTAAGTTTATATTGAAGAAGGGGTTTACAGAAACGAATTTGGACGCCCAAAATAACGATTCTCGCGGACGACATCGCTGGCACAGCTGTAATGTATATGGCAAACAACGGTTGTCGGGTCAGCTAGTAAAAAATAAAGAACAACAAGTAATGAGATTATGAAGTTTCCTGACCTTTAGAGTCGAAAATGAGGTGGACTACGCTTTCAATCTTGCATGACATATCGTTAAGAGCATACGGAAGTGACCGAAGCATGAATAATTAGTTCCGAATCATGCAACCCAGTTTTATTAAAGACGCCACCATAAAATGGGAATGGTGAAGGTTCTTTCAAAAATGGATGGTTATTAAACGAAATGGGCGTTGACCGCTTTTGGAAAAGATTATGGATTTATTAAAATACATATTATGATTAATGATTTTTGTGTTTAAGAATCCTCTACCAAGGGCGCCGGTACGGAAATAAATGGAAGGTAATGTTTTAGATGTCTTCGTAATTCCCTTAGAAGGCTAATTCATTGTGAATAGATAATAATCGGATAATCGTTAACTTTCCTTATCTATAATTTCACAAGTTCGTGAAATTGTTACTAGTACTGTCTATAGTTTACGCGAGTAGTACACATTTAAATAAAACACTTTAACGGTTTAAAACGCGATATATTAGTTAAACTTATTTGAAAATTATTTTTAACTAATATATCGCGTTTTAAACCGTTAAAGTGTTTTATTTAATTGTTACTAGTAAATTAAGAAGTTATTTTTACGTTTCAAACCAAAGGCTCACAATATATAGAATCTCTAATAATTACACATTTTATGTGTGGTCGACCTATCATTAAACATTCATAGCTCTCGAGTTTAAATGATTCAATTCTACCACAAGACAAGGTTTCAAGTAATTATGGATCAAATCCATGACCCGTCGTTCATTGAGCTAGCCCAAGGAATCTGTCGAAGCGAAAGTACCCGTTTGTGTCGTGACATATTTTTAATATTACATTACACTAGTTAATAAACAACATTTGTTTTTGTGCCACAATTTGTTGTGTCCTTGCGCGCGGAATGTATTATCTTTTTATTATTTGTACGAGGAAATCTGACTTTTGTAAAATAAAACTAGAGTTGTTTTCATGTATCGCACGGGTAGATACTATCCATTCTAAATGCGGATTAATCGTGCATATTATTATGCAACATCGATAAATATAAATACATACATAGTATAAACTATACCAAACAAACATTTAACAGCCAGCTAGAAAACAACAAGACAATCCGATCGTTTCAGCATTAAATTATGTAACGATTATAAACTTACTACAAATTTAAAAATCGAAATTAAATTGAAAAAATATTCGACTCGGGCAGGACTTGAAACGGCATCGTCAGCGTTCCGTGCTGTGTAATATAATAATATGTGAAAAATATTAAAGTGTTCAAACGTTACTACAAATTATAGTAATAATGTATTTAAAGCTACGTTTGTAGCATTAAGCGCGAGAAGATCTGCATTCGAATCTCGGTAAGATCACAAAAGACTTCTTTACTTTCCTGTAAATAACAAAAGTACACAGAAATGTCTATTTCTCCCTGTTCCATCGTACTCTTAAGCTTAGCTTAGAATTTATATACCCCTTACCCCAAAATAATCGACGCCGAAATCGTTTACAAATTTTATTTACATACTAGCTGTGTCAGTGACTTCGTCCGCGTAGAAAAGTTATTTTGGACATCGAATTTTGTTTTTGCAAACCTCCTCTTCATCTTATAAATTTTAAGTTAATCTTCAAAGATATACATATAGTGTCGCAGACATTTTTTAGATTATATTTTAAAAAGGAATTATTCTGTCATAGAATTTTTTTGGGTATCTTGAGCCGTCTTCGCAGGTATGCATCGAAAACCCACAGAGATGAAAATTTTCTCCCGTTTTGTTCACATTTCCCGCCGTATTTTCGCTTCTATTAGTCACAATGACATGTATTATAGCCTATAGCTATTCGAACCCGTGGTTCCTGAGATTGGCGCGTTCAAACAAACAAACCGACTCTTCAGCCTTATATATGAGTATATACTAAGGTGAAGTTCAGTTGAATTAAGTGAAAGTTCTTCACGAGTTCAGAGGTAAGCAAACCTGATACAGAGAAGTGACACTGCATTGCATTGATTATGTAAGAGCATTGATAATTCAAAAGTACCGGCAACAAAAACAACATCAGGTGTAGCCTATGGGCAATAATGGACACGTGCAAGTCTTTCGCAAAATTCTTCCTATATAAAGTGAAAACTGCGTATGACACCGTTGTAGTTTAGTTTAACTCCTTATGTTAATACTTGGAACGGTTTAAACAAGCCAGCCAATAAATTTCGAGAATACAATAATTTTGGACACGTATAATTTAATTTGTGTTACATAATTTGTTAACTTTATGACCCTAACTGTCGCTTTTAAGTAACAATGTTAGGGAAAGCTCGCTTTTCAACCCGTTTAAGATTGTTTTAATAAAAAATCGCGGAAACTAAAACCACAAATTAAAAGATAAAAGAACTGGTGTTTACGCTGTATTTTTTTTATATTGATCCCCACTATAGCATGATGAAAACACAACAATTCCATCATGGACAATTTGACGCTCGTTCGTTTTTTGTTTGCAGTCACTTTCACTAGCGAGACAGGTACTAATTCTATAGCCAATACTCGTCGGAGCTTCAAAACTTTGCAAGCGAAGACACTGTACGAAGAATTGCTGTATGTCCATCATAATATTTATGTTTTCATCGGAAACATCCGTTAGTATGTGTCTCAAGGGTAACCGGTTTCGCCTTCCGTGTACTTGTTCGTTGCTTGTCAACATTGTATCATATATTTTAAATTTAGGCGGAAAACTAATGAAAAGTTCCACAGTTCAACTTTGCAGCGATACTATACGTGGAAATATACTCTAATTTGCAGCAGCCGTGGTCACGGGGAGATCACGGCTGCTGCAAAGCATCCGAAACGTCGGGCCGAAGTTAAAAATCATTTTCAAATAAGTTTAATTAATATATCGCGTTTTAAACCGTTAAAGTGTTTTATTTAAATGTGTATTAGTCGCGTAAACTATAGACAGTATTTAATATACACTAAGATTAATAAAGTATATTTGCAAAATATAATCAATTGCTTGCCATTATATATTGTTAAAATATATTGACCAGCATAAATTTGTGTGTGTGTAATTAATTCCCACTGATCACTGCCAGTTTCAAGAAACCAGTCACACAATAGTGTGAATTTATAATAATTATATTTATTTTATAAGTAAACTTCCTACCGAACAAAAGGTAACAAAGACAATAACAAAGCTACCACACATGACTATGTCTCATTTTTTGCGATTTAACAGTCCCCATAGCTTTAGTTTTGAGTGTTTGGACAACCTAATAATTTTATACACTCTTCAAACTGAGTCATTACTACTTAACAGTTCTTTACCAACAAAAACTTAAGTAAGATAAGTGCATTACTACTTTCCCATAATTTAATAGTTATAACCCAAAAATCTATAAAATACTTCACGATGGCCGCGAAAGCCTTTCACAATTTATACGACCCAAAGTCCTAGTTTACAACTAGATGATTGCGATTAGATGCATTAGTTTATGGAAACCAATAGGAGAAGCGTTTTTCCCACCTAGTTACTTTCAAAAAACTCAAGTTATCATGCGCGTTTTATGTAACTACGACTTTGGTCGTTATGTAACAGCAGAGTTGTTCGTCGCATACCGACGCATAAAGCTTTGGAGGCCTGGCATTTTATAACGAAAATTATAATAAAAACGACTAAAGACAATAGTTAAAAGTACTGGCGTAGCACTGCGTTAAGCGCGAGAGGTCCTCAGTTCCATACATACGTTTATGGCAAAACATAGTTTGATCGACCACTGCCCAGAAAATTAATAAAATATTGCACTTGTTCTCTAGTTATTATGTAATCTCATTTGCTAGCTTAGCTAACAAGTACCCACGACGATGTTTTACTTCATTTCGTTGTAATACAAAACATTTTTAATAAGCAGTTCCTATTCTTTTCCTGTGCACCTACCCTCTCAATCGAACAGTAAAAAAAGTAAAACGCATTCTATCGCGATAGTCATGGTTTGTGAGTGAACAGAATGAAAGTGTACTCACTAGAAAACATGAGAAGAGAATTGCGGCGACCGTCTTATCCGTGACCGTTGCGTGGATGTTTATTATCGCGAGATCGTTGATCGTCAGAGAGCCCAGAAGGAAGAAGCCGAATATGTGTGTCCAAATGTTCATTGTTTCGTTTGTCCACCAGAATATGCTGCAAGAAATTTATTTTTGTTACAAATCCTTCATTATTTGTATATGTATCTTTAGTATACCAAATTGCTTTTTTTGTATGATTATTATAGATGCACAAAACATTTTAAATGATCAAGTACAAATTAATAAACTTAAGTTAAAAACATCTTTTAGCTTAGATCATACTAATTAAGACATTATTAAGATGTTTTTCATACAAAACAACTTCATTTTAATAACATATACATTAGGAAAAGGTAAATTATTTAATATTGGTTGAAGTCACTAATAAAAAATTAAACTTTTCATTAGGACTTATACACTGTATTAGCAGAGTCGGAGGTCAATTAAATTTCTTAGGCAAATGCTTCTTGTAACATGTGCATGCAAATAACCACTAACAAAACTATTTTACTCAACAATGGTATCAATTGATTAATTTATAAGGAAGAGTTCCATTAGGCTCTATCAATTGAATAATGTTAGTACACTGGACTGGATTATAAAAATAGAATATAGTACATACAATATAAGCTCATCTTAGATTTTCTAAATAAATTTTCATTCTACAAGAAATCTATGTTTTGAAGCAGATCTGACTTATGTTTAAAAATATAATAAAGGTTGATTTGATTCTTATCAAATGACACAAAAAATGTATATACATTTAAATAAAACACTTTAACGGTTTAAAACGCGATATATTAGTTAAACATATTTGAAAATTATTTGTGGTCCATGGCTGCTGCAAAGCATCCGAAACGTCGGGCTGAAGTTAAAAATCATTTTCAAATAAGTTTAACTAATATATCGCGTTTTAAACCGTTAAACTGTTTTATTTAAATGTATATAAATTTGTTTATGTGATTTGATGAGAGGCCTCTAATCGAGATACAAAAATTGTCATACTTTACCTTTCCCAACAAAGCCGAGTTGGTAACAGTTTCCGATAACCATCTCTAATAAATGGGTTATGTTGAAGATATACTGGTGCTTGCTCATACTTAAGGAGTTGCCGATAATTGATATATTCTATGTCTTCTTTTGTTAAATTGTTATTATCTTCTTCTAATTTTTTCCCTCTATGAAGAAGGGTATTTCCACAACAGTCTTTTTCATGTGCACATTTTTCTTGGACCTAGGTGAATATAAAAGAAATCTATAGAAACATGCATAGAAAGATTTTGGACAATCTTATAAATATTAAAGATAAGTAAAAATATATTCCAAAGTATTTCAATTAACAACAAGCTATATTTAACTATTCTATTCAATAATTGTATGGGTCAAACACTCCTTCTTATATGTGGGTAGACAGTTACTAATAGTTTAAGTAAATATGAACCTTTGACCCTATTAATCAAATTCATCCATATAATCACAAGGTACATTAATATGGAACATTCTTAAAAGAATTCAAGAGGTACTAACTTTTTCTATTGCCATAAATTGTACCGTTTCTGCTTGGCATTCACTTAATTTTCGCGTCATAGTTAGCGACATTTTAAATTTTTATTAAAAGCTTTGCTTTATGAATGACTTTACTACACTAATAAAATATCACAGAAAAATCCTGATTGCACTAAACTAGACTTCCGAAGTCGGAAACATTAAATTATCTTAGATTCCACATTAGCGATTGATTTTAAATACTACGAATTTAACAGGACCGTTACAAGTTTCGCACACACGACTCTCCCATATGAAGCAAAATAAACAACTGTCAATTGTGAAAACTGAAAAAAATACTGTGATGGAAACTGTGACAGTCAAACATCAGACAAGTGTAAGATATCACAATTAATGTAAATTGTCATGCTGTTCAAAACTCTGACAATTTACTCATTCTGTTATAGTTATATTATAAAAAAAATATGCTAAAGCAATTAAATGTATGCATAGAATGATTGAAGCCAATAAAGAAGAAAGGTGAAAAGAATGGTATTTTTATGAAGAGTAACCGTGAATTGATTACTATATCTGTGGCAGGAAGTTGGAGATAGAATACTCAATAGGCCGTGTTTATTGAACCACAGCTTAACCTCAGTTACACTTTATTATGTATAAATAAATATAGATTAAAAAAAACGTAAATAAAATACCATTACAACTATTACTTACGCTACACTTTATTTTTTCCTCATTCTGTAAAGTTTTTAATGTACAAAAGCAATACGTATACCTAACTTTAAAATCTTCATTAATCTGAACTTTTTCATAGCATGCCAAAAAAGAAATTACAATTTCTTATATTTTATATAAATTGCGATTTAATCTATTAACTATATAATAGATCCCATAAATATATTAAAATTACTTTAATTAAACCATATCACCTTTATAGCTATTTAATGTATAATTATTAAGTATTACTAATATAAGTAATAATTTCTTAAATTTAAAACCCCGAATAAATAACACAATTTGAAATATAAAGTTTCGAGTTGCAAAAATGTGTTTTAAAATAACCAAGGAATGTAATCTATTCGAAACGTTTCCAAAAATAGCGCCACCTTATACTTTCGCGACGTCATGTCCTCAGATTGATGTTGCCTGTACTAAAATATTACGATTCTTAACATAATTGTATAAAAAATAAATAACTTTTATAATTAAATATTTTAATATAGTTATAACAACAAAATAATGAGTTAATAGATTTTACATAAAAAGTAAATATTTTACAGTCTTAATTTATGCGATGTAAAAGATTTAATACATTAAATATTTTTTTAAAGTTCATGTCGGACTTGTCATGGATGATGAACGTTCTTTGTAAATGGTCGATTTTCCTGTTTGCTGTTCACCATTTGTCGCGAGTGTGTTAATTTCGTTAAAACTTGCGCTGTTCCAATCTATATTGTTTCTTAATATTAGTTAATATTATTTTATATTAAGTATTTAAAGTTTTGTCACAGTTGTTATAATTTTATAAATATTGTATTAAACGACAGAAGTAGTACTTTTGCGTTTAGACGGGAGCCATCTTGCAATCTCTAATCAAAGGTCCTTGGCTCACAGTTTCGTTGTCTAGTAAAAACTCGGTATATTACAATATAAAGTAATCAAATGGCGTTAAAACGAATTAATAGGGTACGTATTAAACTCGTAGTTAGTAATTAATGTTCGTGAAGGCATAGAAATTGTGTGTTGTAAAAATTGTAACAGACTTCGTAGTGAATGTTTCGTCATTGTGAATACCTATTATCGACATATTCTTCTGGATATTTCTGTGTGTGATGATGTTATAATTATAATTTAAAACGATATATTTTAAAAACTCCATTGTTTGTGCATAACGGTATTATAAGGTTTCAAAGTACCTAGTGACAATTATATGCACACGGTGAATCTAAAATGTCGGAAATTGTAACGATTTTAAGGTTTTACTGTCCAGCACAAGTGAAGAAAAAGAAAATGTCGATGAAAAATGCTTCGCAATAAATAAAATAGTGTAATTCATGTGGATTATTGATCCTGTATTTTGATTAGCTGATAGCCTTATGTTTAGTGATGATGTGTTTGACATATCGTATTTTCGTATTGTGTTTCATATGATGTACAAAGATGGTTTTGTCTTGTGCAGGAATTACAAGACCTGGGTAGGGACCCTCCCGCACAATGCTCCGCAGGACCACACGGAGAAGATCGTGAGTATATTGATTCATTGACTGTTTAATGACTCATAGTTAGTCGATATCCCGTTAAAAATAAAACTCATTACTATGTAGGTTATGATGAATTTTTATCTTGTGTGTAATTGAGGTTAACTCTTTTTAATTTAACTATATTATTTATATAGTGAGCGTAACTATGACGATTTTTACATTTTTGAGAACATCTAATCAGCTGAGTCACGATTATTGTAAATACAATAGAATGTTTGTGTTATATTAAAATATTTTCCTTTCAGTATTTCACTGGCAGGCCACAATAATGGGTCCAGTAAGTATATTTATTTAATACTACTTATGATTCAATCCAATCCAGTGCAGTACAGGCTTAGTTTCTAGACTATGTTTAGATTTGTCTGTTTAAGTATGTACAAGGCTGCACTTGTATGAGGAGATGGAACAGAGTTGTAACAATGTATCTTTTATATTTCAGGTCGACAGTCCCTATCAAGGTGGAGTCTTTTTCTTGACCATACACTTTCCTACAGATTATCCATTTAAACCACCAAAAGTTGCATTCACAACGCGTATTTACCATCCTAATATAAACAGTAATGGTTCTATTTGTCTTGACATTCTACGCTCACAATGGTCTCCTGCGCTAACCATATCTAAAGGTAATCTACTTTTTATAAATGTTTATCTAAAATCTATGTAACTTTGCTTAATTGTTGCAAATTTGGTTTCAGTGTTGCTCTCAATCTGTTCACTGTTATGTGATCCAAACCCAGATGATCCTTTGGTACCAGAAATTGCTAGGATCTACAAAACTGACAGAGAAAAGTACAATGAATTAGCCCGAGAGTGGACTAGGAAGTATGCCATGTGATGAGTCAATTGTGACATCAAGTAAACATACAAACACATCGCCACAAAACCTTGACTCCAACAATTCATACAACCCTTCCTGTAATCTGTTTGTCTATATCCTAATCGAAATTATGAGATTTTTGTATATGTGTCAGATGACATCCGCTCGGTTTGATGGTCTTCGATAATAATCATATTGAGATTTCATCTAAGTAAATTTTTACAAACATACAGATAGTTTCAGTTCATGTAATGTTAAGTGATTTTCTAAAGAAACTTAATTCTCTATCCGTTCAATATTGATGTGTCGATAGGTGTTTAACTCATTTAGTTAAAAATAAAACTTAGTTAAATTTGCATTATTTGATTCATGTATTTCCTAAAGAATTTGTACTTTAACTAGATCTAAAATTGTGAAAGTGAACAATAGCCATACGTTAGGATGTGGAGCGGTCTTGCTTTTCCAACTGTCCCGTTTTGATATTCAATCTATTAAATTGAGGGCTCATTATTGTTAGGAACATTGGGTTCATGTAAGTCTATATTAACAAAATGAGCTTGTTGATGGAGTCTAGAACGTTAATTTTTTTGAGTTTAAGTTAGTAATGTAGCGTTGCAGAACAGACTGATGTTAATGGAAGTGATAACTTTTCTTTCATCCACAATATTTCATGTGGATCATGCGCTCCAATAGTTTAAACATACAGTATAAATTACAGTGTATCTCATAAGATTATAAGTTATGATTAATCTTAGATTTTTTCAATACGGCGATCTTTATATTTTAATTTTATCTAATAATTATATATTGTGGTTGTAAGGACACCTGCGTTGTGATTTCCAAGTCCCCCATCCGCGAAGACCATCCTCATCTCCTAGTTTCTGCAACGATTTGGCTCAATATGGCATTAGTGGCACGATGTGTTAGTTTACAGCTGCAAGAAAAGGCTTTCGTTCACTTGGTCGACAGGGAAACAGCTTTTTCAATGTAAACCTCTAAATATTTACGTTCATTAAAATTTAAGAACAATAAATTATTGAGTATGTAAATAATAACGTGAGATTTATTTAGGCTTTCCCTACGTCATGCAGCTGTAAAAAATACATTTACTCTTAACATGACAAAATGTCTAAGTTGCATTTATGAATTATAGCCATCTTAATAAAAATACACAAATCAATTCAATGTGATATCTTATCAGATGCCTTTTCTTCAGTATCCATTGTTATGTTCCAGTATTTTTGAATATTCGTAGATAAGGTCGACTGCAGACGAGTTACATTTTGGAAAGGCCGAGTTTTTAGGTCAAGTTACATGTTTAATCTCAATTTGGCGTATAAAATATTCTGTGTGTGAAGGTTAACTATTTCTTAATGCCGTTAGATTCAAATTTATTTATTCCGAGTCCAGAGATAGAAAGGGAGACAACTCAGCTATTGCTGGAGCATACACTAAAATTGTTGATTAAGCACCTAGCGGTGTATTTCAGAGCTGGTATTTTTGGTCAATAGGACGTGAAAACATTTTATTTTTAACTCGTTAAAGATGAATGGAAGGACAACGTCCTATTTATTTTTAGCTATAGGTATTGTTTTACAAAAAGTCGCGTTGGAAATCTGCTAATTCTATTTAGGTACGTTTTAATTGGAGTTTTGACGGTTTTAAGGGTAATGAACCCTCGAGTCATTAGCATGAAAATGAAAGTAGGTGAACCATACATGATTGAGAGCAGTGACACCGTCTGAGCTGCATCAGCCGTTTTTTTTGCTCGGCGCTAACCTGATAATCTCGAAAGGCACTATATCTTGTGTCGTATTTGCGTGTGGCGTGCTCGAATCGATATACCTCATCTACGGGGTGTAGAATTTCCTACTACTTTTACTTTCCTCTACACTTTTTATTCTATGGATAATAAGTGGGCGGTTCAGTGAACAAAGTTGTCGAATAAAATGGAGTAAATATAAACTTACATGGAGCAGACACACTTCTGTTTTACTGATCCGATTTTATTTACTGAAATAAATCTTAGATTCGAACTCGTGAAGTTTTATTAATGCAAGATAGCTAAAACTGAGCCATGGAGGCGAGTAAAGTATTAGATACGTCTTTTATCTACAGTTTATTGTACTTATATCCATTCAGTTTTAATGTCCGAGATATTGCAAAACAAGAGATCTTCATGGTATATTATTATATCGAGACGCTACTATGAACGCAAATTCTTTATATCTGAAAACCACCTAACAAGTAATCAATCCCGCTGGGCTCAAAATTTGTAAATTTATCAGTAGTAATGAGGGCATCTAACGTCGCCGGGATTCGAATGCAGGACTTCACGCCCTTAATTACAAGTATTATGTAATACTATCATTAAAATGTTAGTCAATTACGAATATATAGGTTCATAACACGTTGGTAAGCCGCTAGTAAGTTCGCTAGCGAAATTACATCAGAGGCAACAATTCCGTGATTATTTATGTAATCATTGAGCCTATTGTAGTCGACTGAGATATCAACAGGTAAAAACTTCACCTACTTTCTTGAGATTTCGCTTTATTTTAACAATGGGGAAATAAACCACACTATTTATTGTTATTAATAATTTACCTTAATTAAAACATTTACATACGACTACAGCTATGCGCTAACTTATATAAAAGGTACATTTACAAGGCACATAATATCTTACTAATTGGATTATTGACAGTACATAATCCTATCAACACTAAATATTGGTATGAGAGTTGATAAGCACGTTATATATAAGTGGCCTTAGTGTGCCACGGTTTTTTTATAACACTACATATTATATTAAACAAAAGCATTTGCTTTCTTTGATATTATATGAGCAATTGAATAGAGATAATTATCGTCTGTTTCCTTTGGTGATCATTACTTGCAATTTCTTGAATCTCAACGAGTGACGTCACAATTATTTTGTTATTTTGCGTAGTAGATTACGTAATGAAGCGTTATATTGAATGAATATAAACAAATGTGGGTATTAAAGGATTGACATCATATTTTAATTTAAATAAATAATAAAATATTCATGTATCAAGACTGGTGAGTTTGGACAGATGGACATTGATTCAATATGTCACTTTGATAAATTCATTTAATATGTAGAAATAATTTTCAACTTACTGGATTAATTTATCAAAATAACACCAATGTTTTATAATTGACATGAATAATAAAATTTTTAGACGATCTACTAGTCTTAAAGAATTTAATAAGGCAAAATTGTAAAGAACGAATTCTTGCCTTTATAATCTGTTCCAGGAAATAAAAGAAATACCCTACAGTTCAGTAGTTTCCATATTCTTGGTGTTTTTCATTTGCTCCAATTGCTGATAGAAATCATAATTGCCCTGGTTACTCTCGGTCTCCGTCTCCTGAGACTGTATTGAGGGGAACGCGTTATTCGTTATAAAGAACGGTTTGCTACTAGGAACTTCAGCGTTCACTGCGTTTTCGTCGAGCGAATCTCTTTCTGAATGGCTCATCTGGTCATCTGCTTTGTACCAATCGTTTTCATACGCGTGAAGCCAGATTGGGTTGGAGCCTTTGGAACTGTGCTTGTTGGTGTTGGGTACGCGGCCGTGCGAACGGAGTGTCATATCAGATTCTCCTGGTGTAGGGGATGCTGTAGAAAAAAAATTTTGTACGATTAAGATTGCGAATATCAAATGAGATGCGTGACGCTGAAATACAGCATGGCCTTAAATTCGAAACCAAAAAAAAACATTAATGGAGTTATATTTGAAGTATATCTATGCAGGGGCATCTTCTCAGTTTCATTTGTAAGTTTTAATAGTGACCTTTTTTAAAATAAAGAGGAGGACAGACAAGCATGGGGGTACACTTGGTGGAAGGTGAATTACATCAGCCATATAACATCTAAGCAAGATGTGCTGTCGACTTATTTTTGCTTTAGATATTAAAAAATCCACAAACTGAAACCGAAACGCGATTAAACTTGACGGCTTTTTTATGTGTGGACGGTGGTTCGGGACCTGGATGGAATTTGGATATTTCCTCCACCCATTTATTATGCAGGTTGACAGACGAAATCCGAAACGTTTCAGACAAATTATAAATTGATTAGAAAAATTTTGGACCCGGTGGGGATCAAACCCACAACCGATTAGTTATTAGCAGTATACTGTTACCATAACGCCAATAAATACGTTAAAAGTTTACGATTGCTGATGCGTAATTTGATGAGTTACAGTAACTCAACTTTAGCCCAAATCTTACAATAACACCCTACTATAAGATTTGAGTATATCTTTGAACGAAAAGAGAACTCACAGTACGCAGTTGCGGTGGCAGCTTTAAGTTTCCTCGCGTAATCAGCTCGCTGTGACAGGCAGGTCATGATAGCCAGAACGAGTAACGCAGCGAGGAGGACGGAAGTCCACACCAGCCAGTACACTGTCTGGTTGCCGCTCAACGATGCTGCTGTTAGCGGTTGGAAATCAGCCGGCTGGGTGTCGAGGACGTTGAACTCCTAGAATCATTTACTCAAATTAAGTATAGCAAATCCAAATTCAATATCTTGTATTGCCTATATTTAGTAAATTTAATAATAAAATAAGACACTAGGTAAGGATCGGTAATGATTCTCACACTCAGCAGCGTTGGCCGGGATCTTCCAACTTCTACTTTTACTAAATACCTTTTTATAAATTGAATATACATGCGTAATGTGTAAAAGTTGTATATTATATAAAAATTAGCTGCGCCAGTCTTCGTCCGCGTAGAATGGTCCCGTTATTCTTGCATGTTAATCTTAAAAGATAGACATATACTGTCGCTGACATTTTGTTTAGATAATTTAAAGAGAAATCATTATTTCATACATATTTTTTTGATATTTTGAAGCGTTTTCGAAACGAACGCAACGTAAACTCTCAAAGACGGATAACTTTTCCCATTTGTTCCACATTTCCCACTGTTTCTTTGGTCCCAATTGTCGCAACGTGATTTTCGTCGTCGTTTCATAGAAGATTTTCAGGAACGAATCCTACTGCTCTAACAAAAAACAATTACCTTAAACAACTCATCCAGCTGTTCAATGTTCTTATCAACGAGCCGCAACACTTGCTCCACCTCCAGCACAGAATGATCTTCGCCATTCACGAGGTGCAGATACAAATCCGTCTTGGTGTTATCCACCGAGCCATCTTTGTTCTCGTGGACCCGCAGATCATCTATATTGACCACGGATTGTGTCACGCGGGCTAGGTTTTCTCTGAACACGTCAATCTTGTCGCGTATCTCCGACGGGTGCGCCCGCAAAACAAACCGTACACGCTGATCTTCGCGGAGCAGGTAAATGAACACGTGGGCTTCATCTGACAGGCCGTCTGTGTCGTTTGCTAATATCTGATAAGGAATACAGAAAGCTTGTAATATAATTAACGTAAGCCTATTTTTGATAAAAACTCTGTGCTACATGAGGTACTTATGCCATTCAATCGATTTCTCAAAAAAAAAACCGTGAAAACTTCCTCAATTTCTGACTTAGTCCATTGTTAAGCCAAACTTAACATAGCAATGAATATTAAGTAGGTACCTTAAAATCAAAGTATCCCTTCATGCCCTTCTGCGGGTCGAAGTTAAGCGAGACAGCCCCCGTCTCGACATTTACAAGGAAAGGTGAAACTGATAAGTTCTCAAGACCTTCGGTGAGCGTTTCCTTCACGTTTCCAAGGAGGTAGTAATTTACTTTCGCGTTCTCACCGTCGTCCAAATCTATTGCCTGTAATTGTTTTAATCATTAATGTAAAAAAAGTGTCTATGTTTGTTTCTCTGCTATATGATTCATAGATTAAGAGTAAAACATCTTGTATTGTAATTCTGGATAAATATTTTTTTTGTTACGCAAAGTACAAACTATAGCTGAAAAACTATAAATTCATGAGAAAACTTCCAATGTCCCTTGCCCCATGCAGTAATAGCAGGACTTATCGATTCACAATCAATTAATAAAAAAAATAAAAGTAAACAATATTACTTCCTCCACATCATTAGATCATTAGTAGAATAGTAGTCCTCACCTTGACGTGCATAAATTCGATACCAAAGTCTGCTTCCGTAGTTATACCACCGGTGAAAATCTTGCTAATGAATTTAGGACTGTTGTCATTAACATCGTTCACATTAATATGGACTATTAGTGTGTTGCTTGTGTCACTCTTGGAGTCGTACTTGGGAGTGTTCAAACAGTCCTCTGAAGCCAGCACAGTGATAGTATAGTTCGATTTCTGCTCTCGGTCTAATAGTTTTGATGTTAATCTGTTATATAAATGAGATAAATATAGATAACTTAATTGTACTTATCCTATATACATACAGGCTATTTATGAAATAGCACGTAATGAATGAGTTAATCTTAAAATTAAATAGACTATTTTTTTACGAAACAAAATGTAAGAGTGTTGCTAAAGGAATATAATAACCAACACGTTATTATTTTCCTTTGGTTGTTATAGTAAATTATGGCAATGACTCTTATTGTTTAAATTAATTTTCGTTTATTAAAGAAAACATACCTATGTGTACTTCTATCCAACTGAAACATCGCATCTCCATTTCCCTCTACAATATAATAACACACTGGTAACACTGGTTCATCCCCGCGATCTATCTCGTCTCTTTCTACCACACTTGGTAAATTAATGGTGTAGTTGGCAACATTCTCAGTTATATTGATGACAGCGTGTTTATATGGGAACCTGGGGCGATAGTTGTCTACATTTTGAACGTATACTGTCAGGTCGAGTTCAGAACTCAGCGGTGTGGGTAGGCCTAAGTCGTAGGCTTCTATTCTTAGCTAGAAATAACAGACAACATTTTTAAAAGAGGTGAGAATGGAAGAAGGAATTACATTGAGCAAGAGAATTTTACTGAGTTTTTAAGCTTTTTTTACGAGTGTTTGAAATCGCTTAGCAAAAAAACTTCTGCTAAAAATTATTAATAATTATATTATATTTTGGGAATTCCCCACTCTTTATCTGACAGAGGAGGACAGACAAGCACTAGATGGAAGGTGAAATACCATAGCCACATAACATCTAACACGATATACTGTCAACTGTTATGACTTTGGATATTCGGAAATTTAGACTGAAGCGCGATCAAATTTCACGGTCCTTTCCTACCATCCATTTAGTATCCAGTATTCCAGACAAATTATACATTAATTAGAAACATTTTAGACCCGGTAGAGATCGAAATCACGACTCGATTACAAGCTACCATTAGACCATGTATGATCAGGCCCCAAAGTAATAATGTTAATTATGATCTTTGGTGGTCCATACCTGATAAACTGTCTGTTTGTCCCTGTCTAGCGGTTGTACAGTTCTCAATGCCCCCGTGCTAGGGTGGACAGAGAAAGCAGAGTCCCGCCTCATACGATATCTGACAGCACCGTTGGGTCCTATATCCGCATCTATCGCCTTCACTACTACCACTGTGGTTCCTATTGTGGCATTCTGCGATCAGAAAATCGAATTGTAATAGATTTCAGTATAAGTCTCATTGCAATTGTAAGTCTTTCCTTAAGGTTTTTTTTAAATTTGCTACTATTTAAATACTGTCTGTATTTTAGGCGAGTAGTAAACATAAATAAAACACCTTAACTAAAATATATCGCGTTTTAAACCGTTAAAGTGTTTTATTCAAATGTTATTTTCTATACACTAGACCGCTATATTTCTTTATTAATATTTTACTATAAACTTCTCTTACATCTAATATTAAAGTTAATAAACACTTGCCTCTGGTACTTTAATGGTGACATTCTGCGGCGGATGAACGAATATCGGGGCGTGGTCATTGTAATCAGTGACACAAAGCTTTAATTCCCCCCGGACTGAATTAGGCGGAGTCCCCAAATCCCTCGCTTCCACGGTTAACGTGTAATTTCCAAATCGGTCTTTTAGCGACTGTTTAGCGTATAATCTTCCAGTGTTCGCATCACCGCCAACTTGCTCGAAACGAAATAAGTCTACGTAGAGAAAAATAAAATTATTACTTTGTAGTTTACACGCATAGTACATTAAATACATTCAAAGGTTCCAACGCAAAATACAATTATAGTGTATTTCCAATTGGCGTTAAATTGTGTTTTTTTCAATCATTTTATGACAAAGTGAATTTAAGTTAGTTCAATAGTTTAATTTATAATACTAGATAATTGGGTGTTTGTTTACCAAAAATGCCAAGTAAGAAAAAGTACACATACTTAACTAGCGAAATAATAAGTACATAATATATAGTATTTAACTAACGAAAAAATATAAAATATTTACCATGTCCCTTGCCAGCCACTAAGTGAAACTGTACCCTGCCATTCGGCAGATTATTGTCGTCAGCATCAGTCGCTGATATTGACACTATAGGCTCACGATGCTTGTGAAACTCACTGATGGTGGTACAGTCTTCTGGTAAATGTAAAACTGGGGCGTTGTCATTCACATCTTCAACGATAACACTGGAAAGGGTAATTTATGTACACAAATTTATAAGTAAAGACGATTTTGTCTCTCATCTCGCTAGGTAGAGATTAGGAATATATTACTAAATTAATACTTCTTTCACCGTTTTCTTAAAAATAGTTATATCTAAAGAAGAAGTGTCAAATCGAACCTTGCAGCGACCAGGTATGTGTTCCATATAAAAAAAATCCGTATTTTTTTTTAGAAAATATTAATAATGACTCATCATAAAGCCAGAAAAAATGATATGGGTTTTTCTTCTAAATAACTTTTATAAATATTCATTTTTTAATCTGTTTGTTCAAAACGTACCATTAGAGTTTGCATATTCAATTTATCATTAGACTTTTAAGAGTCTACAAAGTATGGAACAGGACTTTAATATTAGTTATAAAAACTTTGGATTATTGAATATAGCCAATATAACTAAAGTCTACTTACACAAGCTGTTTAAAAGCGTTCCTACTTTCACCACTGAGATAACCAAATTGGTAATTGTCCCACGCTTCGACAACGAGGTTGTATGTGGCCTGGGTTTCTCTGTCCAACCACTCTGACACAGTTAGCGCGCCTGTTTCAGCGTTTATGAGGAATTTACCCTGCAGATAAATATATAAAGTATAAGAAGCAACATTTTTATATATTTTTTTTTATGATAAAAAAGGACAAACAAGCATTTCACTTCATGGTAGGTAACATAACCCAACCATGCATCATCTAAATAAGATGTACTGTCGACCTATTTCAACATTGGATATTCGGAAATCCACAGACTGATGCACGCGATTAGATCACGGCTATTTCATCTGTGGATAGTGATTCCTGACACGGAAGGAATTTCGATATTCCTACCACCCATTTATTGTCCAGATTACCAGACGAAGATGATGACGGGATGAAACCCACAATCCGTTATTAGCTATACATTCATACCATTACACCAAAGAGCCCGTCAATACAATAAAGACAATTGACGAATACCTGTGTAGACGTTCGGTCAAGCAGGTAAGTGATCTTCCCGTACTCATTGGAGTCTGCATCGGTTGCCACAATATTGGTGATCACGGTCCCAGGTTCAACGTCTTCTCTCACACGATACTCGAAAGGCTGCACTTCAAATACTGGGTTGTTGTCATTTTCATCCAACACCTGTGAAGCATGAAGAACATATATTTATACTCATATTATAAAACTAAGAGTTTGTTTGAACGCGCTAATCTAGGGAGCTACTGGTTGATATTTAGGTGTTGTTTAGAGCATTTATAGACGAAGGCTTTAGGCCATAAAGCCAATAGACATAAAGGAACAGTGGGAAATGTGGATCAAACTGGGAAATTATTTATCTTTGAGGGTTTCCATTGCGTGTATTGCGAAAACGGTTCAAAATACCCAAAGATATATCCGAAAGAATAATTCCTCTTTAAACGATCTAATAAATATCCATGACAGTATATGTCAATATGTTAAGATGAACTTGCAAGAACAACGAAAAGCGACGGAGAGTTTTGCAAAAACAAATTGCATTGCCTAAAAATACACTACGCGGACGATGTCGCAGCCACAGCTAACTAGTTATGTATATAGAGTAAATAATGAGATAGATGCAAAGATTTTTTAAGTTAGTTTTGTAGTTTAAAATGGCCGGACATAATACGATGATCGATATAACAAACGACCTGGTACATATTAGCTAATTAATTACTTACATATGGCCTTATGTTTTATGATACGGATTTGAGTAACTTTAACAAAATAGTAACAAGTATCTACTCTTTCTCTTCTTTCCTTCTGTTCTGGGCTTAAAACAACCAACCTGAATAAAAAGATCTACTACAGCATGTCGCGGCGGCTCCCCGCTGTCCATCGCCTTCACGGTAAGATTGATCCACGGATACATTTCATGGTCTATTTTATTTGAGACCACAACTTCGCCGGAGTACTTATCTATGTGAACGAGGCCTAACGATGCGTTTGTACCTGGTTGAAAAAGTAGATTACCCATATATCCGAATAATAACGCCAAAATAAGTCGACAACACATCTTGTTTAAATAACATCAAGTGAATTCCCCATGTGTCTTCCTCTATTAGAAAGAAATAGATTTACAATAACAGTGATGTTAACCTATATAATTGTTTAAATCATAGTATTTTGAAATAAGTCTAATAATAATGATTTATTTTAAATTATAAATAGGAAAATTTTATCACCTTCCAGCATATAAGTAATTGAGCGATTTTTGTCTGGATCATCCGCTAATAGAGTGTCAATATGTGCGCCGTTCTTAGAATTTTCTGGAACCGATGTCTTATAGAAGGGTTTCCTGAATTTCGGGTTATTATCATTCTGATCGAGAACAATAATAGTTAAGGTTGCTGAAGCGACTTGTCTTGGTCCACTTTGTATGGCCGCCATGTCTTCGACGGTTACGACCAGTTTTATTACTTCTACTTTTTCTCTGTCTAATATACTGAAAGGAAAAAATAAATCACCTACCGTTGCATTATTATCTATATATAGTGAACATTAAAAAAAATCTTTCTACTACATGTGGTACATAACTGTATTTACTTGTACTGGTTTTAATATCTGTTATAGTTGTAAAAAAACTTTTTATCTGTGATCTGTGATGATCAATTAATTAATAAATGAGTTGAGTTTATATAATGTGTCACTTTTTGTATATAACTTTTAAACTGCTTAGGATGCATTAAAATTGTATTATTCTTTGTAACTTCTGTATCTATTTGTTTGCTTTTTGCTAAATGAATGAAGACTCAGACCGGTAACGGACTGCTAAAAAATTTTTCTCATATATAAACTATGAATACAGTAATAAATACCGAACTATCCGTAACGATCCATCAACAGTGTTCAAGTCCCATAGAGCCAGGAAATCATAATCTGTGGGCAGAACTTGAACGCCATCTTCATTTCGTGCGTGACTGTTCGCTTTATCTATGGAATATCTTAGCACTGGTTGGTCGTCTGGATCGTTGGCTATGGCACGGTATATAATAGCGCCAACCTATAAAAAAGTACCCGTTTAATTTTAAAATCTTAACAAATTTGTGTCTAGACATGTTTGTACGAAAAATAATACTTTTAGAGGCTCAAGTTTCATAATATTTATAGGCCGCTAGAGGCAGAGTAACCTAACTGAAATTTTACGAGTTGACTTATTTATATTTTAATAGTCTAAAAGTCTTAATCTACAAGAGCGCAGTGATCAAACATAGGTAATATAATTCTTACACAAATAATAGTACAAATTCATTTTCAGCTAAATTGATTGCACATTTTTACTTTCCTCCTTATTGAAATCACGTTTTTTGTTACTCTTACACATTAGGCCACTCTGACTCTAGCATTCCATATAATCACCCTTCAAACTACAGACAGCATTTTTTTATCATCAGCAATAAAAATTGTTGAATGTGTTTCAACATCAAAAATAAGCGGTATTTTAAATAATTAAAAATATTTATAATACTCCTGTATTTTTTAGTATTAAAAATTAGTCTCAAGTGCCTTTGTTTAATCATTAAATGATGTATCACAAATGAATACGATGTGTAACTAACCTGCATATTTTCCATAACCTGAATAGTCCCAGGTTCGACGAACACAGGCGGTTTATTGTTCACGTCCACTATTGTGATGTTAACTAGTACTGCTGCACTCAATTGATGGTCTCCGATACCACCATCCAACGCCACCTATAACAAAAAATACCTTGAACGACCTTCGTTCGAGAACTGCTTAATTTAATTATATTTGCTTTATATAGATATATCATTATAGATAAGCCTTTCGCGGCCATGCTTTAATAGTAATCGGGGTTTCTAGTTATCCGGCCATCGTTTTTTAAAATCTCATAAGTCTTCACTTAGTGTAAGAATGTTTAACATCTAAAGATGCCAGAATGATGAAATATGGTCACAAACAGCTCGAAAGCCCAGTAAAAACTTTTTGTGTTGATTTACTGTCTGTCCCTACACTTAAGGATAATACTACTCACCACGGTAAGAGTGTATCTCGTCACTTTCGGATCGGTTCTGTCTGGATCCAGGCTAGAACCGTTGGAGACAGAGATGACTCCAGAATGTGAATCGATAACGAACTTATCGCTGGCGCCTCGTTGGATTCTATACACCACGCGGTTGTTTGGGGACGAACCGTCGTTGTCACGTGCTTTCACCTGTCGGAAAGATAATGTTAAGAGCTAGATGATTAGAAAAAAATCTTCTTCTTAAGAAACCCTCTTCTATTAACTACGATATGAGGGAATTTTTAATAGCAAGGACATTTTTTTTTCTATTACCGAATTAGAAACACAATGGACTGCCTTCGTGATCTTTGTGCTCGTCTAAACCTATTGCTTACCTGTTTATAAAAGCATTAGAGACTGACATAATAGTATGTCTACAAAGAGGATGAGATATTTTTTTAAGAGAAAATACAGCCAGAACACAATAATTCTAATTGTTAATATTTAACTAAACTAAAATTAACTAAAACGCGATATATTAGTTAAACCGGGTTTAAACCGTTAAAGTGTTTTATTTAACTTTATGTTTAACTCGTCGCTTATAAAACTAATTTGATTTTATCTGACAATAAGCAGGTAAGCCTGACGTAGATAGTTTACACGTGCTGTACACATTCAATAAAAGACTACAACGGTTTTAAACTTAAAGTATATTAAGTATAACAATAGCATCAAGCCGCCGAAATTTAGGGTCGTAGTCATAAAATAATTAAGTAAAAGATCGCATTTCAAACCGTAAAATATATTCATTAATACTTATATTACCTACCTCAATAACACTAGTTCCACCGGGCATATCCTCAGGAATCGCTCTCTTGTAGAGCATTTGGGTGAAGGCGGGCGCGTAGTCATTCACGTCTTGTACGTAGATGGTAACGGGTACGGTCGAAGAGAGAGGCGGTGTACCAAAATCACGAGCACGCACCTATAAGATTAGTGGAATATATTGTTTCGACGTTCATTTTACGTTTTTGTGTCTTGACGATTTAGTAGACGTATGCACTGTATAAGTTAGGTATATGTTAGGTAATTGGTTTTAATTAATTTACTTGATTAGTACTTTTTACGAAATACCCAGTTTTTAGTTCAAATGTGAGTTTTAGTGAATTTGTATTTTAACGAGTTTACAAATATTCAATTTAGATACACATAGAAATGGTCTTATTTTAATGATATTTGAAAAACCTTTTACTAAATCATGAGAAATAATAAACTTCTTTAGTTTTATCCTATTTGCAAAGATATATGTTAATAAATAAACAAAACATTAGTATTGTAATTCGGACTATAATAATAAGAAAACAAATATATTTTTAGGTATTTTAAATTGATAATCTAAGTAAGCTTTAATGGACTATTGCATACATTTTCTTATCGACGTAGGTACTAAATATACCAATGAAATAGTAAAGAAACTAATTTTAAAATACATAAAGCATAGAGCACTCACAGTCAAATGTATCGGTCGTATGTTAGTGTTGTCTCCTGGAATTTGTTCAAAATCAAGGCCAGCTACGGGCGTTATGATTCCTAGGTTGGGATCTATGGAGAAGTTGTTCTTGTGGTCTCCGCCAACGATCGCATACTCTATATGACTATTCTTTGTACCTGTAAAATAATATTGTTTTATATAGCCTTGAATTTGTTTTGAGTATTTGTGGCCTATGCCAGTCAGTGATTTTATGACAGAAAATGATAGAGAAACGTGGATTTCATTTCATGGAAGGAAAATTACCCCAATAATATTCATTCATACTAGACATTCGGTTCTAAGTTATTTATTTGGAGTCGATTTTTAAAATTATATAGTGCCTTCATGTGCAATAACATGTGAAAAATATTAATGTTTTCAAACGTTATAACTTTGTAATTTCATCTTCAATGATTTCTTAAGCTGCAAAGCATAAGACCTTAATACGCAAGTGTTAAGGTTGAAATTACACTGCGCGAGAGGTGCATGTATCAATAAGTTGAAAAAATTCGACGATGAGGTGTAGGACTCGGTAGCTCAATTGGTAGAGCAACAGCACGGAAAGCTGACGATGCCGGTTCAAGTCCTGCCCGAGTCGAAAATTTTTTCAATTTATTTTCGATTTTTAAAATTATATAGTGCCTTCATGTGCAATAACATGTGAAAAATATTAATGTTTTCAAACTTCGTGGATTTTAAATTTAGATTTTTTATCCTGATTCTGCGAATAAAAAAACACGTTTGGCGTGTTTCAGCTTTAGTATCAACAAAGAATAACCTTGTATACACGATTTTATTTTCAGTGTTAAACCTTTGTATCCACTTACCATTAAGATCGAGGTCTCTCGCTTCCAAAACCAATGGATTTTCAAACTCAACTTCATTTTCAAGCAATCTGGCTTCATACTTATTAGCCAGAAACATTGGAGCATTATCGTTTACATCTTCTATGTTTATAATCAGCTGTGCTGTGTTTCTGTTTCCTTTGCCCTATAAAAGTAAAATTTGTTATAAGGAATATTCTCATGTCTTATGAGATCTATTTAGTAGGCACAGATAAAATTAACAGAAACGGGCCAGACACATTTTGTGGATCAGGACAATGTCAGGCAGAAAAGGTTTTGAGTTGTAGTGCTGCTATAATTTAATAGCAATGCATAAGTTAATTTTTCTTTGTCTTTTCAATATTGTTAAAAATTAAAAGAAAACATGATTATAAACTCCTTACCAAGTCATCTCTAGCCTCGACAGTGATATAATGCTGTGCTATAAGTTCCCTGTCAAAACTGTCTCCTCCACTTTGTTTCACAGTTATTAATCCAGACACTGAGTTTAAATGTAATCTGAAACGCAAGATATTTACAGAACGGATTGATAATTGTTCATTAATACAAAAAATAAAGGTAATATTTTTAAATGCTTTATGTGAAGTCTGTTGCCTAGAATATATTAATTATCATGTCCTAAGAAAGTGAAATATTGTTTAAGCAGACAAATGTATATATCGGTTTGACTGATGATATTTATATACAAGCAAGTAGTCACATATACTGCTATGCCCCTACCCAACAGAAATTATGCTTCACCAGGATTTGAAAGCCATAGAAGCAATAAATTACATGAACTATAAACTTAAGATTCTTTATTTTATTATCCTTTTCACGTGATTAGAATATTAACTTACAGGTGTGCAATACTTCCAGAGAGACCAGTATATCTGATTCCCATTGTACCATAGTTCCCAGAATCTTGATCTAAAGCCTGGACTCGAGCTACAGTGCTGCCAATGTCACAATTCTCTGGGATAGACACCTTATATACGGCTTGAGTAAATTCTGGATAGTTGTCATTTTCATCCTTGATGTAAACAGTTATGGGAACAACACTAAAAAAATTCACACACTTTTGTTTAACTAAAAAATATAGATATTCTTAGTAAGCATGGAGGACACATAACTTGTATACAGGTATGAGCTCTGCTTAGTTAGTAAATCTGCATTCAAGCGTGTGTTTTACTTTTTGTAAATATGTCTGTGCAATAAAGATTTTAATTATTATTTAAATCGTTTTCAAATTTTGAATGATAACGCTTGGTTGAATTATCTTATTTAGTTATATTATCACTATTGAAAGTTGTTACTCTGATCAATACGTCATATATGGTAGTAGTTACTTTATTCTTTAACTGAGATTGCCAAGCTAAGCCGTCATCATGTTTAATGCAATGTTTGTCAACATAATAAACTATAAAATTACAAAAATGATTATGATAGGGAAAAAAAGGCAAGATATAGTTTTTAAATTAAAACATCATAAACTTTTACCTCATTTTAGCATCTTTAGTAACTATTTCCTTTGCAACAAGGCTAAAATTCATCAAAGCCACCTTTTCATAGTCAAGGTACAGAGGATTGTTCACCCTTATCAAAAATGATGCTTCATTAATTCCTTTGAAGGGTGTAACATCAAAAATGCCATTATCGCCAACTATATATAACTCAAAAGTCCCATTTTTGCCCTAAAAAAATATACTTAGTAAAATACCATGACATCTTTATAATTACAGAGAACTGGTAAAAATGTCTGTACTATCTGTACTGACAATACAACGTCAAAACAATACAATATTTTCATAAAAAAGGTTTTTTCATCATTAGCTTACAATTGGATATGTTTCAAAGTAGATTTTTAAACTACAAAACTTAATATATGCGTAAAACTCTTATAAATAATTTAAACACATTTTTTTTATGTTAATTTTTACCTGATCATAATCAAACACCTCAGGTATTGCATCATCAAGGAACGTTATAGGAGTATTTTGTTGTGCATTTTCAATAACTTCTCCAATGTACCTCTCACTCCGAAACCTTGGTGTTTCATCATTTACATCAGTTACAATGATTGTCACTTCAGTTGTAGCACTTGGAAGTGGTGATATTACGTGGGCTTCTTCAGTTGCCTGAAAGAAGTGAATAAAATAGCACTAAGGGAAGGAATTTGAATTTCCTTATTGTAATTTATCAAGACCTATTTACTTTTTATTGTCAAGTTAATCTTATTAAATAGATGAAATTAAGATAATTTGTGCTTTCTTTATTGTGTATACTTTACACATCAGATTAGTTTTATACACTGTATCTCACATATACTAACAGTATATGTTATATTTGGAAATATGTGAATAGTTTTTACAAACAATTTTAAAGCAATTTTTGTTATTCAGTCTCAATATGCAATGCAATATTCAATATCTTACCAATATTTCCAAAATATAAGCACCATTGCTATTATTAGGGTCCTCTCTATCCAATAGGCTGACAGTGTATACAACACCTGAACTGCTATCAATCTCAAAATGTTCCTCTCCACCAGATATAATGCTGTATGAGATTCTATTGTTGATTCCACGATCACCATCGACAGCTCTAACTATAGAAGCAATCATAAAGTAATTAATTAAAATTAATACAATATATGAATTAATCACAAAAAAACTTCGGGCTATAAAAAAAATGCAACTAAAATTACCTTTAATAGTATCTTTATTTTAAGCGTTCATAATTAAGTTAATAATTTAAAGATTCGATGACGATATATATCAGTCTCCCCATGGCCGCGACTTCTGTCAAGAATCCGAAACGTCCGGCCATAGTAAAAATAATTTCCAAATAAGTTTAACTAACATAGATCGCGTTTTAAACAGTGAAAGTATTTTAATAAAATAAAATTACCTTGCAAGACAGACGTTCCGATTGGCGCATCTTCGCTGATCCGGGTAACTGGTGTGGCCACAACAAACTCAGGCGGCTGATCTTCGACATCCTGTACCTTCACCAAAATAGCTGCAGTCCCAGTATTAACTCTTCCCTGATTAGCTCTATCAACAGCGAGTACACGAAGTTGATACAAAGATTTCTTTTCGTAGTCCAACTTGTTTACAACACGTATCACCCCTTTTCCGTTTACAGTTTGTATTGAAAAGTTATTTACGTCCCCATCAAGCTCTTGAAGATGATATAGAACCTAAAAGTAGTCGAAAATTCACATTTTAATGATTTGTTGTGGATTTTCTAAACAATTGAAAATTAGATTATTTGACAATTGACATCGTACAGTATGACCACGATCATCTTATTGACATAAGACATTATTAATTAAAGTTGGTTTATATTTTATTTTTATGCAATGCGAAAATAAGATTTTTTAAAATGGTTTTTAATGATTTTTTATGATGTAAAATAATGTAATTAATGCTTTTCTTTATCGAATATAGTCATTTTTTTCAAGTACATACGCTCTCGGTGTAGTATTTTACAACGCTTACCTGTCCATAGGCTCCTTCATCAAGATCAGTAGCCTCAACACTAGCTAAAATACTAGGAGGTTCATTTTCCTTGACACTAATTGCCGAGGGATAGGGTTTAAATATAGGTTCGTTGTCATTCACATCTTCTACTAGCAGTAAAAAACTTTGTGTTATAAAGTTACCCTCACCCAAATGACCGTCGGTTAGGGTAAGCACGAACGAATATTCGTCACGCACCTGAAATGAAATTTCTTTCGTGAATCATCGTCAAAAATGTTGCAGGAAGTGTCGTTTATTTTATGATTAATGAGTACGTTACCTCTCTATCTAATTCCTTAACTAAATATATGTTTGCTTCGTTGGATGAAATGGCTTCTATTTTTAAAATATCACTACCGATTTGGCTGCGAATGCCAAACTCTAAAACGTCTCCATCTGGATCTATTCCTCTTAGTCTATAGATGAGGCTTCCTAAAAAATATGTATTATACAAGATTGATTTGACAACTTAACCGCTTAAAACATGTTTTATATACATAACTATTTTTATATTTTTACTATAATTATTTGTTATTACTTAATAGTTTTATTCGTAGTTCATTATTCTCCTTATTTACAATTTATAAATCCATAAAACTGTTACTTAGTATAACATATGTAGTTATTTGTATGTATATACGTTGTTGCTTAGTAAGAAAGTAATATTGAAATTCGTAATACGAGTAAGTAGTACTTCCTGTAAAGTACCTTCGTGGGGCTTCCCACCCCATGTTGGGTGTTAGTTGTCTTGGAAACAAGTTCCCCTTAAACCAATTTCCGGGTGTCTGTGTCGTAATGCGATGTTTTACACTCAAACTAACTTTTGTTCGTGTTATATCAGTGCATTATGTTATTAAGTGGATAATGCTCTTAGCATGCATACAACGGTTCAACGAACTGAACGAAATGCAATGCCGATTTATTTTTATATATCACTTTTTACCTACTAGCTGTGTCAGCGATCGTTCGTGTAGAATAGTAATTTGGCATCCAAATTTGTTTTTGCAAAGTATCTTTGTAAAACGCGTCCCCTCGTTCTTGCAGGTTAATGTTAAAAGATAGACATATAATGTTCTGGACTTTAGATCATTTAAAGAGGCATCATACTTTCGTATACATTTTTTGAGTATGTTGTACCATTTTCGCAGCGTACGCAAAAGAAATCCAGAAGGATGAATAATTTCCCCCGTTTTTTCACTTTTCCCGCTATTTCCTCGGTCCTATTATTTTACTATTAGTCGCAGCACAAGGTGTTAACCCTAAAGCCTTTACATTTTTGATTCCCACCAGTGGTTCCTAAGATTAGCGCGTTCGAACAAACAAACAAACTGTTACAAATTTCTAGTATTCAGCCTGGGCTCCAGTGTACATAAGATAACTAACTTAACTAAACTTGTAAATAATGATTTAGCCCACAAGTTTTTGGTAGGATAGATACTTGTTTAAATAGAACAGTTTTACCGGTTTAAAACGCGAAATGTATATACGCGAAGTGATTTTTAATATACTTTAACTACGGGCCGACTGTTAGGATTTGTTCATTCGTCGTTTCAAACCGTTAGAAGTGTTTGCATTAAAGGTTGCAATAAATCGGTGCGCGGTGTAGGTAATAAATAGAGTTTGACTTACCTATTGGTGTATCAGGACCTTCCTTCAGTCTTATGACGATTTCGGACCGCCCATCTATAAGGAACCTTGGCGGCCGATTACCCGCTACTAAGTGGCACAGAAGTAGTAAAAACACTAGTCGTGTGACGTGTGGCACTTTTAATCGCACTCGCGGCGGACTCCTAGCATTCGTTACATACGTCATGGTTCACCTGCAGCATCGGATGTCGTATGTTATTGTGAAAAAGATCATTTTCCCTGGATTTTCCCTCGCACGGTTTCACCGTGGGAAGCCTGCGTGCTGTACGGGTGAAAGTGGTGACACCACGCCTACTTAATCTCTGGTACGTGCTGGGTTATTCGCGGGCAACTGCAAGAGACAGGTGACGAAGTAAGAAAGGTGGTAAGGAAAGTGTTTGGTAACGCGAAATAACGCTATCGAGTAAAAATGTAAAACTGTAATTTCTATTTGTCTTAGTCAAAGATTACACTTCTATAAAAGAAAATTATCAGCCGTGTTGCTCTGGTCACTAGTAAAATAAGTCCTCTGGCTAGATTCGTGAGATCAGGAGTTCGATTCTCCGCCATGTGCCTAAATTTGTATCTCAGTTACTTGTGCTGTGTGAGAGACAACCGTCCTAGAACCTAACATTCCATCGCATCCACCAAATAAACACCTATGCATACATTCTTAAAAAATCCATGAACTGAAGGAGGACCGACCGACCCGATCCGGGAGTCGAATCTTCGATCTCGTGTTTTGTCGAGTGTATTAACTACTAAACCTACGACGTATGTTATGTATAATAATAACTACGTATGAACTTTTAAATGCAACATTAACGGCTTAAAAATCGAATTGTATTAATTATTACTTATTTACAATTTCTTTGAACTACGACCCGACGTTTCTAATACATTTCGCGTTTTAGACCGTTAAGAGTAATTTATAGAAAATATTTAAACTTCTTACCTTAACTTATTAGTTTACATCGAATTATAGATACTTATTTTGCTAAATGAAGTATTCATTATTCAATTCACCTAAATTTGTTTACGATAGAAACGGGTTTTCTTGCGAGTTGAGCTCAAAGCATAGAAATATACTGTCGAATAATTTTAAAAGATCATTAAAAAAATAATAACTCTCTTTTACATATTTTTAAGGTATCTATAAACCGTCTTAACAGCGCATGGAATGGGTCCCACTATTTCTTTTATCCTTTATAGCCTAAAGAATAAATAAGCCTACCTCATTGGTCTAACTAACGCACACATAATTTTTCAATTCGAGCCACTAGTGTCTGAGATTAGTGCGTTCAAGGAAAATAGTTTTTAACTTTAGAAAAGTTTTTCCGGCTATTAAGTGATTAGAAAAGTGATACTTGAGACATTAAAAAGCCTCTAATTGGGTTAGGAAGGTATGGGAACCAGTGCATGTCAAAGGCTGTTTGTTAACTGGCCGTGTCTTATTGTCTCGTTAACACATACCTTGTCTAACGCAAAGACGAGTGTTACGATCTCAAATTCTCCGTTGCTAATGTTTATTTGAAAGCAGATTGATCAATTTCATGTAATAATATTTAAATTTTTAGCTCGTTGGTGTAATGGTAGCGATGAAGGGTCGTAGGTTCGATCGCCACCGGGTCAAGCACGTTTATAACTATTTTATAATTTTTCTTTAACATGTTGGACTTCCTCGGGAAATTTTATTATTAAATGGGTATTAGAAATTTTGAAGTTTTGTCGTGTTACGAATTACCGTTCATAGATAATTAGCCGTGAAGTTTAATCGCGTTTCGGTTGCAGTCTGTGGATTTCCAAATATCCTAAGCCAAAATAGGTCGACAGCGCGATGGTCTTACTGAGATGTTATACACCTCACCTACCATTAAATATAACCTTGTCTCTTCTATCTTATAAAGAGAAATATTCTGTATTTGGTATTACAAAATACACTCTATGTCTAATAGTGTATGACACAGTTGTTCGATTTTGCGATTCAAAATGTAATAATGTACCAGTACATCCCTAAAAGTAGAAGTATCCTAATAGTTAAAAACCTTTATAAATAAATCCGAAAATGGCTGCTTTAATAAGATACATTATTGTATAAACGGACATACATCTCATCTAGTTATTTATAAATACGTTCTGCAAAGATTGCACATATAAAATATATGTGTTAGTAGAAATATTGTGCAAGCAATACAGACCATTTTATTCCTAATACATTTCCACAGATAATAAAAAGATTTAGTTACGAGTTTTACTTCTATCTACGTCGATTACGATTCCGCGGAACGAATTCACAGAAAAGGTAAGGTTTAGTGTTATTTTTAATGGTTTTCAGCTGTTACATAAAATCTACAGTAAGAATTGGTGATTGGATAATTATGAGATTGTGGACAGTTCAATTGGAATAGTTCTTTTGTTAACTAATAGTAGTGGATGAAATAAAATAATAATACTCCTGTATAGACTCTAATTATACAATTAAATAATACTTTTTTAACAGTTTCAAACTCGAAATGTATTAGTTAAACGCTTTGAAGCAGTTGTGATAGGGTCGTTGCATTTGAATGTACTTGTACTGTACGTTATTTAAACTACTCGTGAAAAACTACAGACAATATCGAATAATACTTTTTAGGTAATTTCAAATTTGTATTATTAAAGTCTTAAATGTTGCAATTTTTTTAATGATTTATTAAGTTTAATTGTGCTGCAAAGTTTGATAAATAACATCATAGAGACGATATAATTTGATTTTATATTAATATGATATTTAACATCGCGAACGTAACGAACGAACGTAAAAAACGTAATTGTAGTCAACACTCAAAAAGCCATGTACACGCTATAAAACTTTCTTCTACCTCATTGCATAATATAATTATATTATCTAATGAACAATCCATTATCTCGTTATGAGTAAAGCTTAATGCCACGTTATGAAAATGCAGTGCATGGATCATTCACACGCACCGGACTTTCAAAACAATGGTGACGTTACATAAAAAAGTAATTAAAAGTGACCTCATGCATCGAGGGGATATGGTTGTGTCATTTGTGTAAAATTAATTAAGTGATGACGTTATATTTATCTTCGGAGTATAACTGATGTTAAAGTTTAACACTTCAACGGTTTAAAACGCGATATATATATATTAGGTAAATTTATTTTAACTACGGCCCGACGTACTACTCCCGAAAAAATAATTGTTTTTATTGGTTTTTTCAACGCTGTTACTCTTTAGTGAAGACACCATGTACAGATATTGATGAAAGATATCACAGCATAGGAATATGGCCTACAATGACATTTAGGGAAATACAAGACACGTGTGTAACCACGGGCGGAAGCTAGTTACACACTATACAGGTTCGAATCGAAAAATTATTTTTGTGTTATGTAAAGCATTTATTGAAGAAGGCTATAGGCTTTAAAGCATCGCGCTGTTACTAATAAGAGCGAAGAAACAGCGACAGATATGAACAGAAATGGGGAAATTATTCTCTCTGGGTTTCCGATGCGTACGCTGCGGAAACGGTTCAAGACACCCAAAAAAATTGTATGAAAGAATGATTTCTCCTCAAATGAACTAAAAAAAGTCCGCGAGCTATACCTATGTCTATCTTTTAAGATTAACTTGGAAGAACGACGGGACCCGAACGACGGGCCGCGAGCGATGGGACGCGAGCGATGTCGTGGATAAATTTATAAAGATCAAGTATAAGTTTACAAAGAACGAACCCAATATAACTATTCCACGCGAACGAAGTCACTGACGCAGCTAGTAAATTATATAGGTCTTGGTTTATTTGCGAAGAGGAAGATGTGTGATAAACTAAATATAGCTTTACCAAACCAATATGTAGTAGTAGTAAGTATATGCGACATACGTCTTGGTTTTTCATTATCAAAATAGCTGGTAATCCCAGAAAAGTGCGTGCATTTCACAGACTGAAAAAAGCCTGATGAATGCTGAATAGGAACCGTTCGTCAATCCTTCCTGTCTGAGTGATCGAAACAAAAGAGCCGCGATGTGTGAAGGCCGATGCTCGAAAAGAATGGGAGAGTGTTGTCGGAGAATGAACTCCGCTTTTGTGAAATATCATGCGAACATGTGAATATCGGTGATTTACCTGATATTATCTGTGGCAAAGTTTGCAAGGAGGCAATTGTTTTAAATTTTATATCATACTCATCTCTGTCTGCCAGTCTGTCAGCGTACAAAGCTCGTATTGCGGTTAACTAGGTATACCCACGACTTCGTCGGCATGCAATAATTATTTTGGGTATCATATTAGTTATTTTGCGAACAAGCGTATATTCACATACAAGTACTTCCGCGCATTCCTTAAATTATTTCAAGAAGAAACATTCTTTCATACATAGTGTTTTGGTTTATCGGGTCGTTTTTGCAAAGTATTTGTAAAAGAATTCCTATATGGTTAATAAATTTCTCCATTTTTTTTATTTCCCTCTGTTTATTCGCCCTTAATTGTCGCATCCTAATGGTATATTACTTAAAGTCTTCCTTGATAAATGATCTACCCAACACAAGAAGATTTTTTTTAAATTCTTGAGATTCAAACAAACAAACTCTTCAGCTTAACAATATTAATATCTATAGATTATGTACTTTCAATTTATTCTACATATCAAGTCAAGACAAACAATGTACGAGTGTGTACCATTAGATTTTAAATATAATTTTGACTGAAAATCGAACTCACATCCTTTGCTCTAATCACGATCCAAAGCAACACGTTCATAACTAATTCCCGGAAGCGTTCATGGCTCGATAATAACGCTTATTAATATTAATGTGATGTAAAAAATACATAAAAAACAATTATTCATGCGTTGTTTTTGATTACTAGTAAATTACTTTTATCTAGATTCTAATGTCCATTCGTCGATTCACAATCAGTCGGCATTCTTGTTCTGTTCAAAGTTTTTTACAATATAAGATAGACATATAATATTATATAAGCATAAAATTAAAGATAAAAATTGTGTGTTGTAAATCCGAGTCGCCCTTGCATATTTTTTTAAACGTTTACTTTAATTTATTTCTTTTTATATTTTTTGTGCAATAAAATTACAATAATTGACTTTCTACAAAGTATTACGACATTTCGTTATCAACAGAATATTTGCGTATAAGCTCCAAGTTAAAATAGCCGGGAAAGTGTTTTATTTAATACAAATTATACACGAATTCCGTGTGTTTGTGTGCTTTGGGCGTAACGAGAATATTTACTTTTCGCGGAAAGGAGTTCAAATCTCTCGCCGAAACGAGAGAAAGCTTACCCTCCGTTATTTCATTAGGCATTAAAGAATACAATACCTACATAAGTGTCTTGATTCAAATTGTTTATGACGACAATGGCGTCAGAATTTTGTAATAATGGTTACTTTTTTACGTGATAACTTCTATGAGGGTAAAACGCGTCACGTAACGCGTTACGGCGTCACTTTGTAAAGTTATCGACGCACATGTATTTGTTTAATGTGGTTAACTTATGGAAGTTATAGATGATATATGAGCAATCGACCTATTTTGGCTACGGATATTCGAAAATCCACGGGCTGAAAACTAACGTATCCAGACGAAATCCAACAAATTTCAAAATATATATTAAATACTTTGCCCGCAAATATGAAATTAAATATTGTATTCTTTATCCAAAGCAGGTCACAGAAAATAAAATTACCAGATATTTTTCGTTTTAGTTCTTGCTATCGTAAGTCTTAATGACTATATAGTAAATGAGATTAAAATAAGAAATTTGAGAATACGAATCGGCTTACCGTTTCGTGTCGATATAATTTAATTTAGAGAGACAATTAGCGCTAATAAACTAAGTTACACGATTCACAGGCTTATAATGATAGCATAAAAGAACTAATTGGTCACGGGTTTGATTACTATCGAAGTTAGCAGTTTTTAGGCACTTGACAAGATCACAATAATAGGTCGGCAATTAATTTAAACCCTTTTCATCAAAGTGACGTGAAAGTCGGTGATGGAAATTGTAATCTAGCTTTGTTTTATAATACACCGTTTAAAACACGGAATAATTCAGAGTTTTGTAATCGTGACGATAAGTATATCATTGCTTTTAACGTTTAGATTATTGCCTCCGTAGTAAAATTATTGTAATTGTAGAGTTCCTTATATCAAGGTTAAACGGAGTTAAACGAGAATAAACTAGCGATTGAAGTCCGATGTTGATGGGGACCAGGTGAACCGCTTTTTATAAGCGAAAGTATCACGATTACACTTAATTACAGGGTCGCTTCCTTCAGATGACTATGTTACTATTACTATGCGCAAGCGCAAGCAATACTACAATTGCTGTTATTGAATATGTAAAAATAATAACTCGACTTTCGCTACAATTCTGGCAAGCCTCAATTTAGTCTTTTACTAATTCTTCTATTCTTGTTTTCTCTAGTATTTTTTGCGCATACACGTATAACTTTACAAGGACTAAGGAGAATCAAAACCTTTTCTGTTAAACAGCGTGCATTCTATAATATAATAAATATTTTCAGATATGTCCTCATCTAGCATTAAAAATAGAAGTATGAAATGTTAAATCTTCGTGTATGTTTAACCAGCTGACCTGGCAAACGTTCTTTTGCCAATGAAGTATTTCGACCAGGTTTTATAACAATAAAATCGGTGCTTGCGAGTTAATCTTAAAAGATACATATACTCGTATACTGTCGCGGACATTTTCTTAGATTATTTAAAGAAATCTTCTATTTCATATTTTTGTCACCTTGGCCGATTTCGCAACCCGCGCTACGGAAGCCCTCAAAGATAAATCGAATTTCCCGTTTTTACACATTTCCCTCTTTCTTCGCTTCTATTGGTATTGGTGTTGCTAGTTGGTGGTATTGGTATTTTATGTTTTATAGCCTTTCTCGATAAAAGACCTAACCAACACAAAAGTAATATTCAATTAGAACGAGTAGTTCCTGAGATTAACGCGTTCAAAAAAACTCTTCAGCTTTATAATATTAGTATAGATTAAAGGGACATTTCTAAATATGTTTTGTCCATTATTTGTTTGCTTTTATTAGCTCAAAAGAAGATAGCAGCACTTCCTAACTAAACCTTAATACGGTTCTTATCTTTATTAAATGAATGAATGCAGCCTCATTACAAACTTGCACAACTATCAATTGCGTTACGGTCTAGAAATCTTGTGATATTATATTTAGTGACAATTCATATTGAACTATCTACGTCACTATATATGTTTAATTATATTGTAAGTCAGGTAATAGATGTTTGTCGATACGCAAAATTAGCGAGAATGATTCTCAACATGTAAAAGATATTTAAATACAACACTTTAACGGTTTAAAACGCGATATATTAGTTAAACTTATTTGGAAATGATTTTTAACTTCGGCCCGACGTTTCGGATGCTTTGCAGCAGCCGTGGTCACGGGGTGACAAATTATTTAATTTAATTTATTTAATAATATTTAAATGTGTAGGAACACCGAACAGTATTTCCACCGTAACATACGGAAGCAAGTAGTTTAAACTAATAGTAGGTCGGAGTCTTATTGGTTTTTTTTTATAATAGAGGTGATACTTGATAGTTGGTGAAACCCCAACCATGAAAGCATGATGCGATGTCGACCTGTTTTGTCTTCGTATATTCGTAAATCCTCGCACTGAAACCGAAACGCGTTTAAACTTCTTGGCTTTTTTATCTGTTGCTGGTGGTTCGTGACCCGGAGGGAATTTCGTTATTCCTACCACCCTTTAATAACTAGATTTCCTCACGATATCCAACATGTTTCAAAAAAGTAAGAAAAATGTTGGACATACGACCCATTGACCAGTATTAGCTGTACATTGCTACAATGACACAGACTAACCCGTCAAAAATATCAGGTGGATGAAAACATGAGTCCACTGGATGAAAATATGAGAACCAGTGGCAAGGGCATTCGCCCAGCGCTTTAGCACAGGTGAGTGACGCGGGCGCATTGAGCGTGTCGACGCGTCCAAGCGTGCAGCGGACCCCGATAGTCCCGCAAACATATCCGGTATCCTGTCTCCCTGGATCGCTTTGTATACTAACATTGACTAAATTGAGGAACCCTTATTGTGATAATTAGGAATATACCGACTAACAACTTAAAACCAACATATACAATGTAGAAGTCTGTTTAATAAATTATATGTACTATAACGTTACTAAGTTACGTGTTGCTTTGTTAACTCTGCGTTATGAATATATTTTAAAAGGACGAGGATTTTAAGTGAATATTCTAAAATTGCTACCACGATATCTAAAAGAATAATATATCGTAACTTTTAAGGAATGTTCATAGATATCAGAGTAATGTCTAAATGTTTTTATACCACCAATTTTCAATATACTTATATTATCTACCTGATCATACAATAGATAAGACTTATCGTAAGATTCATTTATTTGAAATGCTAAAATGATAACGTAATTCAACTAATCATTATATCTTTACAATTGCTTTGCCGGTGTTTTCGCCTGCTAGCATTCCCACAAAGGCATCGTATATTTTATCAAAACCTTCTGTTGTATGTTCTTTCATCTGCAATTTTCCCTCTAGAAGCCACTTGGTGAGGTCAGCGAATGCCTCATGCCACCTATCAAGCCAGAAGTGTATCAGAAACCCTTGGATCTTTAGCTGTTTTGACACAATGTCGAATTGAAGAAGAGGTACTCTTGGCAGCTGAGTCACATCATCATTGTACGCGCTAATACTTCCACAAACGGATACTCTTCCGAAGTTGTTCATATGACTTATAATAATACTGCTGATCTCACCACCAACATTATCGAAATAACAATCAATGCCGTTGGGAGCCGCCACTTTCAGAGTTTCGTGCACGTTCACTGTTTTGTAATTGTATGCTTTGTCAAAACCCAATGTGTTCTGCAGCCATTGGACCTTTTCATCGGACCCAGCGAATCCAATCACTTTGCACCCCTTTATTTTAGCTATTTGTCCCACCAGTGATCCTACTGCCCCGGCTGCACCAGTTATAGCAACCGTTTCACCTGCTTTAGGTTGGCAGATTTCAAGAAATCCGAAATAGGCTGTAGCACCCGTCATGCTCGTGATACTTAGACCTAGCGATGGTGACAAGCCTTTTAAGTCAGGTAGTTTATACGCTCCTTTGGCCATTACTGTATTTTCATTGGGGTTGACGATACTGTAATCACACCAGCCTTTGTGTGTCACCACTCTCGTTCCGACTGGAAACCTGGGGTTCCTAGTGTCTTCGACTATTCCAACTTGGAAACCAAATTGATCGTATGGAACGGGAAATCTCCTATTATACGCTCTTTGGTAAGGGTCGACACTTACCCATTCGGTTTTTACTAGAATTTCTTCATTTTTAATCTGTGGTAATTCGTATTCCACTATTTCGAAATCATCGCGCTTCGGGACGCCCTCGAAGTATTTTTTCACAACATATTTGCGAGCCTTCACCATTGTGACTTCTTTGATAGTTAGTGATTAACTAACGTTGATATCATATAGAGTGATATCGATAATACCTTTTATCAGACAATTATATCTTACAAATTGTACAGTAATAACCTCAAAAAACGTTATTGAAAGTATGGAAACTTAAATATTTTTTACATGATGGCACTATATAGAATCAGCGCGCAATGTTGTGGGTGCCGGTTGCCTTAATGTTTTCCCTATTTATTTGATTTGTAATTATTAAAAATAATAACAACGCGGATCCAACAACTGTATCAACACTTGACGGTTTAAAACGCAAAGCATATTAGTTACCCAATGAACTTTTATTAATGATCCGAATATTTGAATTCTTCACAGATATTGTACTTAAACTTAACGAATATACCTAGTTCGCATTTTAATAAGTTAAGATACTAAGAGGCTTTGTAATCAATTTCTATTTTTAACTACAATCATGTATTTATTGTAGAAATCTCTACAATTAAACACTGGCGATACCATCTGAATTATATTGTTGGCAAGTATTTCACACGGTTTCCAAGTCAACAAAAAGGTCCGAGTGCCTCGTTGCTACAGTGCAACATAGATATACAATAAATAGATTAATCTGTTTATGATTAACTAGCTGTGTCAGCGACTTCGTCTGCGTGGAATAGTTGTTTTGGGCAACCAAATTTGGTTTTGGAAACCTCCTCTTCTCTTCTTTCTTTTCTTTATAAATCTTTATAAATTTCGACATCTGACGTGTCCCGTTGCTAAACTGTGTAGCTTTAAATATTTTTATTATTTATATTTATATATTTATATTAACTAGTATGGATTAAAGAAAGGGGCTAAAGTTGTATGTGTTGTTTATGGTAGTGCTACAAATAGAATGGAAGTGGAATCGAGAAATATATTAGCATTTAAATTATTACTATATTTCAAGTTCTTTAGAAGCCATAAGATATTATAAAACTATTAAATAAAGTTTTTTTTCTCTAGAAAGTAGTAATACAAAATGTTTGATACATTACAATCGCAGTCTTGTTACTACTTTGAAACAAAAATATTAGTTCAATGCTACCCAAATTAACTTTAAACTGGTTTTCACTATTTGACTATTTAATAATTATTTACTTAGAATATACATCACCGTTTTGAAGCACTATTAATAAAATGATCAGAATTTAGTAGTTCTAACTCTTCATCGCTATTGTTACAGTTAATTATATTATATTAAGAACAAAATCTAATCATCGAGAAAAATATTTTGAACCGATTGGATTAAAGGAAATGGAAATCCACATGTTTGCTAAAAACGTATCTAACATAAGATTATTGTTATACTAAATTATACATACAGTTAACGTATACATTAAAAAATAATTTTAACGGTTTAATAAGCGAAATATATTTGTTAAATTACTATTACAAGTGCAGACCACCAAATACCTACTACGACAGTAGCAGTTTCTATTTCGACATTAAATGCACCCTCCATATCTAGTCTTCGGAGACCACGACTGCTGCAAAGCATCCAAAACGTAGAGCCCGTAGTTAAAATAATTTTAAATAAGTTTAACTGATATATTTCGCGTTTGAAACAGTTAAAGTGTATTATTTAAATATTTTTTACTGTTAAAATGACTCGGACATATATCTTACCTTTGATATAAAGATTAATATTAGGAGCACTTTAAATTGCGGAAATACATTATGGCAACACTTTCTTCCGTATTAAACAATTTCTATGGATACAAAATTGGCTGACCCATAATCGCTGATCTGTCACGATCTACTTAACGCAGTGATTTGTTTGTTTGACATCGAATAATGTGATAGTGAAACGAAGAGTGTCGACGGCTAGGTCATTTCTGTAGAACTGTTTACTGTATTGAACAAATGAGCGAAATCATTAAGCCACTTCTTTTTTATGATAGAGAAGGATAGAAAACCCAGCCATGTAAATTCTACGCATATTTTGGCCTTCGGATATTCGGGAATTCAATAACGCCATTTAACTTTTTTTGTATGTTAGACAAATATGGGTTTCACTTGGCTTGTTTTGGACTTTGGATGTTCGGAAATCCGCAGACTGAAACCGATACGCAATTTAAATTCTTGGTTTTTCATCTGTGGTCCGTGATTCTTGATCTGGACAATATTTTTAAGTATTTCTACCTATTCCATTCATCCAATAGGTAACAAGATTTCCTGATAAATCCCTGTTTTAGAAAAAATATAAATCGAATATTCATTAGAACATCTTAGACCCGGTTATATTAGCCATACATTAGATCCATGACCCCCGAAATTGTATGTTTAAATTTGTATGTTTTTCAAGCACTAGATAAATTAGACTAAAAGATTGTAACCTAAGAATTGAGACAGTGGGATGTCCAGAAAAAAATCATTAACTAGGAAATATCGTAGACATGGCATCTCTTTTAGGTACTATTGTTAGTGTATACATTTAATAAACTACTTAAATAATATATCGGTTACGAATATATTTTTTTTTATAAAAAAAATGCATGCTTGTAATGCAAGCTTCAAATTACAATAGAAACTATTTTTTAGCTACATAAAAATTTTCACTGTTTTATGAACAGTCCTACAATGATACTGTTTAAATTTGTAAGTACACGTACCTAGTAGGTTATCGTTACTTTTAAGACAGCGATACCAAAAAGAGATGTTGCGGAAAATTAAAATTACAGTTTCGTCAAAAAACCGTAGTCTACTTAAGAATTCCTACTGTGTATTTTTTACCAAGCAATATCTTTAAAATTACTTATTTTACTTTCTTTTTGTTTGGTCTCAGCTTGTGATTAGAGTAGAACTTTGTACTGTTATATACAACTAAGTAAAAAATATTTCTCTTTTACTTATTTTTAGTTATGAATATTGAACTAACGAGTAAAACTTGAGTATTAGAATAAGTCATGCTATTCTTTTAGTGTAAAATTCTGATGTCTCTGCTTTTTAAATTTACTTGTAATAATATTATCCTAGTGGATAAAGATGATAAAAAACTTCGAGGATTCATTGCGGTGTAAGAAGTTCATACTGCGGTTTTCAGACGCAATATTAATACAGATATAAAGTTACTAAGTAAAAGTTCTTTAACATTGAAAGTGTACATATTTAGATATTACATTATTGATGTGTTTTCTGTTCTAATAATCAATGATTATAAACATACGTTACTCATTTATGATAAAATGTACTATTATTTTTTCTTTTTTTTTTATAAAAAAATAAGTGTTTAGCCAATTTATATAAAATGCTTATAAATCATAATCTACTTGTTATTTTCGTTTTCGAATTTGTTACAGTTTTCCATATTATTCTAAATTTAAATACACATATCTATCACATATTTTTTCTGAACAAAATCATAAAAATACTTACGATTTATTGTTTGTACTCCATACCAAAAAATAAGGAAAGGTCAATAAATTCTGTTTAAAGTTTACACAACGTTCACTGCACTATACAGGCGTTATGACGCCTCGCTCAGTTTAGCGCTACTGCCTTGTTGGTAGAGTGCATCCCCAATCCATTGGACTGGCTTGTATGTACACAAAAGCTTATACCAGTAGCTTTTTAGCGTCTAGGTTTTTTACTGTACATCTTTCAATATCCCTTATATGGTTATGTATTTGACAATTACGTAAGATGATAATATTAGAGAGTTCTACAACTGGGAGTAGGAATAAACGTTTGGTAACCCCTCTTATTATTGCTTTATATATACGATGAAATCGCCAGTTCCTAAGCAACCGATTTTGATCGACAGCGCCTCTATAAAACCTCAGTAATATTATGCGAAGAATACAAATACCTAGTTTGAAAAGTTGGTTATAACTACTAACTAACAAAACTATTAAGATAAAAAAATTCTGCTTAGTTCTTTGGGAAATATTTTAAATCAAGAAGATAATGAACTTTTAAAACAGATTAAAACGCGGGCTGTTTCAACTGCAAAATTAAAAATGAATTATCGTTTTTCTTTACGAAAAGAAGGAACACATGCTAATAACTGGCATAAAATCAAAAAAAATAAAAAGTAAAATAGTATCTTCACCTGCATTTCTACATTTGAATTTGGAACGGTCTCGAGCGGCCAAGCGTGACACTCCCTCGGACGAGGTGGACGCCCGTTGACCGTGACGTTCAACCATATGCTACGTAGCATATTAAAAATAAAATAAAAACTTGCAACCTAAGAAAAACAAAAGGCTTAAAGTATATATGTAATATAATTTGAATAATCTAGAATAATCAAGAAAGACTAGTTTTAAGGTTTTGACGAGATCGTTGGTCGCGCGAAACGCGAGCAATCAACAGCTCTTGGATTCGACTCCTACGTCCCGGAGTCCCAGGTCGAAGATGTTTCTAATCAATTTATAATTCTCTTGAAACATATTCGATTTTATCTGGAAATCTGAACGTTAAATGGGTGGAAGGCATATTTAAATTCCGTCCGGGCCACGAACCACCGTGCAGAGATGAAAAAGCGGCGAAGAATCACATTTCGATTTCTGACTGTGGATTTCCGAATATCCAAAGCCAAATGATGACAGCGATTAAGGCTTTTCACCTTCCATCAAGTAAAATGGGGTTCTTCTTAGGTCCTTCTATATCATATATAATAAAACTTGAATTGGGATTCTCTTAAGATAACCATAAACCCAACACCTTAAGAAGGCGCCTCGCTTTATACCAACATATGAGGCTGCTAGAGGCAGAGTGGCCTTATAACAAAAAACAATAGGGAGGACGGCCTCAAACTATCAAACACCTGGGATCCCATGTTAAAAACTCTGGATCCCAATAAACAGCATACCGGCAAACGCGAAGACACCGTTAGTAAATTCTGCAAGAACCCGGCCAGTTTCGTCAAATACCAACTTCGACGGAACAGATGGCGCTAGCGTAGCAATTTTTTACTTTGACGTCAGAGACATCCTCCTTTAGTCTCCCCGTGACCACGGCTGCTGCAAAGCATCCGAAACGTCGGGCTGAAGTTAAAATCATTTTCAAATAAGTTTAACTAATATATCGCGTTTTAAACCGTTAAAGTGTTTTTTTAAAATGTGTACTACTCGCGTAAACTATAGACAGTATTTAACAAAAAACATGATTTTCAATAAGGAGGAAAATAAAAATACGCATTTAAATTACCATTTTGTTCACTGTTCTCTTGTAGATTAACATTTTTAGACTATGAAAATATAAATAAATCAAGTTTTAAAATTGCAGTTAGGCCACTCTGTCTCTAGCGGCTTCTTGCAATATCATAAGCCAAATACTAGGTTCTAAGGTACTTGCAGATAATCGTGAAGCGGAAGCAATAGCTATAAAATTCATAATAAAAACTAGCTATGCTCGTGACTCCGTCTGATTCTAATGGTATCTTTGCGCGCTTTTTTTTATAAATTAACACGCACTTTCTAATTTTTATTTATTTCATTTGGTTTTCACAATTACTTCGATGACATAGCTCTACCTAGTTCTAGTAATTGTAAATGTTATTCTAGTTTGTATTATTATTCTTTCTATCAAGAGAAAGATCTTTCGATAAATTAAATATACTTATGTCTAAATTGTCCTTAATACATGGATAAACTCTCTATATATGTATGTTTAAAAAATTGTTTATAATCCCTTCTTTTAACTACACTGAATAAGCCTTTTTTCTCTAGTACTTCAGGCCTCCTGGAAGAGATCGCTGCTTAGCAATAAGGCCGTATAAGTTACGTACATATAAGTACGTATAGTTGTCTTTTATATTTTTTGTGGTATGTGTTTTAAATAATAAAGCTGTAATAATTTAAAAAAAAATTGTATGGTAAAATGATTTACGAAATGAAACACACGAATTCTAGTGCTTTATGTATAGATAACAGCTATTGACACTCGTTAGTCCGTCGTGGATGGAGTGTCGTGCACCGTTTTGTCACGCTTATTGGTTACGTGTTTGCTGCACGCACGCTGTGCACTTGTAAATGCGTAGATCTTTGTTATGTAACAACGCGTTAGTGCATTCAAGCGCAGCGGTTGTTGGATTTTGCGGAAATACTCCATGATAGATTAGGAACTTCTAAATGGCTCATGGGCTACCACGCCTTTCTTAATTTATACATTATATAATATTAAAGATGATGGCCCGGAAGTTTTATTTAATGAGTCACTATAGGTAATATGATCTAGAAGATGAAGCAAAATAAAGCATGGCAGTACTAACTCATTACATTATGTATTTACTATATCTAGATTTTTTCTCGCTTAGAGAACTTCTTTGGAATATAATTTATATTTAGTAAAAGGAGTGAATTAGCATACCTAATACATATTTGATCGCATTTATTTCCCTAAAATCATAAAAAATATTATAAGAAAGTTAACTCATGTTATGAACTATATTTTCCATCAATTCAATAATAATTATTTAAATATGTGTCCGATAACATAATCGATATACAACATAGTTTTATTCTATCACTTCTTCTTACTTATAAAATTTAAGGTCTTTGTATTCCAAAAAAAGGAGTGCAATTGTAGAAACGCAAATAAAAGTCCAGACTACTATTTCATGATTATAATACTTTATTTTAAAAATTATTTATACATTATTTCTCTATTTCTCACAAAAATATATTCATACGCACTGAAAGTCACCGCATCTCAAGGCCGACGAGATAACAAGCAAAATATTGAGCGGTTATTTATATTAAACTAAATTGTTTTAATGAAAGACCAATACAAAAAATAAAGTACTCACTAGACTGAGTTAATGGGGAAAAAGTGTTTAGCCCAAATCGTCAAGCCAGACGTTCACTTGTTTACTTATCTTTTTGTTTTTTGTTGTCCTCTATAAGGGATTTTGGTAAAGTAACAATGCTTTATTAACTCCTTCTAGTAAATAATTTTTCAAACCGTAATAATATCAGCAATTCTCATTCATGTATATCGAAAAAATATTTTGATTATATGAATTTATTTCGTAATAACTAACTCAATTTCTTTCACTAACTATGTACCGCATTAACAAGACAATTATAACATAAAATTATACAAGACTAGAGTCCAAAATTCATTTAAATATTGCATTTACTTCCGTAATTTCTTATACGTAGAATAGTAATAAAATAGTTTTCAGTTAAAAAATACTTCAGTGAATTGATATCACATTTTGTATAAAATATAATACATACTTTATATTACGATGAAGAATCAACTAGACCTCATGTCACGAGAAATAAGAGGAAATCCACACAAAACATAAAATCTATTTTGAGCACCGGCTTACAAAAAATATGGGCTGTGATAAGAATCCACAAATTACATTCATAACTTTATGCTTAGTTTAAGGGATATATTTTATAGTCCTTCTCTAAAAGATCTAGGATAGCTTTAATAATAAATTGTATTGCTTTTTAGGGTTTCTTGTGTTTTTGATGGAAAATTATTTAGAATTTTTATTACAGCACCGATAATATATTCTTCAACATATACAACATTAATTTTTGAAAATATTTCGACTATACAAATTTTTGCCATAATCACTATAATAATTTAAAAAAGCACATGAGTTTTAAAAGAAACGTGTAAATAATCTAATAAACCCTGAAGGGAGTTGAAGATTCTTAAAATGCAGAAACTATATCGTTTTATTAGAATAATTAATATTTTTACTTATTAACAACTCCATATTAGAACTAGCTTTTGGGCCGACTATAATTCTACTATAACATTCATATTTCGTAAATTTATTGTATAGTTAATTAACTAGATGATTAATATCTAACACAAATCCATCACAATAACTTTAGAATATCAGTTTTGCTTCGTTCAATAGATCTGTAAGATTCTCTCAAGTATTTCTGTTGCCTATCTAATCTATAATCTGACTATCAACATTAGATATTGGTTTCATTGTAAGGCTGTTCTTACATAATTCCATAGTTATCTAATAACTAACATTGTGTTCGAAATATATCTTCGTCAGAATATCATGACACCCATGGCCCTCTCTTGGATCCACACCTGACCAATAATTATTCTGTGTAGAGTTAAATACTTAGTAATATTTTCGATTTGCCAATAAAATCTTTCATTTTATAACACTTGTACGGTAATATAATGTTATTAATATAAACAAATATTTAGTATTAATTAAATTACAAGGCTAATAATGGTTGTAATAATTCTGACGTGACTAGAATTTATCAGTACCTATTATTAATTTAGATCCATTTTGAAATTCTATGTCTACATTTTAACTATCTACAAGCTAGTTACTATGTACATTTGTGGATAGGTATAATAATGTCACAGGACTTTTTCGGCAAGTGCACATGTTTATTGAGTAATTAAGGTTAAAAATGCTCTGAAGCAACTCGGGCACCCGATTTAGACGAAGACGTGCATGACTATTCCACATGATATAATTCATAACTTGCAACAATTTTATACTAATTATAATTTATTTTGTATAATATATTAATATATTGTGCTTTTAATGTGCATTGCACAGACAATTTCAAAGTATCCTAATAGAATATAATATTGGTATCAATTTAACAGGCCATATAGAATGACCTAACGATATTTCTAAGGGAAAATTACCATTCAATATTTTCCAAGACTCCAATCATTTTCTGTCTTTTTATGAAATCTATAATGGAATGCTATGCCTAAACTTGGCTAATTGTTAACAATTTTGTTATAGTTCTATTAAAAATCTATTTAGAATGACAAATATACACAGCGATCCGTGTTGCTGCTGTAACCAATAAACCGTGTCTCATACAACATCCAACTTCTTCAACAAAACAGATTTTTAATTTATAAATAGAGCTTTAAAATGGGTATGATTTTGCAATGTTTATCGGAAATAACGATTTATTGGGGATTATTAGTATCAATTCCATACGATTTCTATCATCTCGCAGTAGCTAAGAAGTTTGTTAGGAACTTTTAAAATTCTATATAAAATATGATTTAAATACTGAATTAGTAGAAACTATATGTAATAGGATTTAAAGTTTTACGTTAATACAAATTGATGACTTTATTGTGTGTTACTCGGTCGCAATACTGTTATGCATATAGATCCTCGAAGAATACGGAGTAAATCTATAACTTCTGGTGTCTTCATCGCGGTCACATTTTCATCGTTGACCTAGAAATAAAAAATTTCTATGTTTATACATGTTTATCATTCAGGATCTAACGTGGAGGAGTATTGTCTGTAGTTCACCTGAGTAGACATTTAAATAAAACACTTATAACGGTTTAAAACGCGAAGCATAATAGTTAAACTTATTTAAAAAAAAATTTATTTACGGTCCGGTATCTCAGTATTTAAATGTGTTTTGATTCATGTAGTATGGAAGCCATCCATACTACATGAATCAAAATATAAACAAAATAGAGAAGGGAGGACTAATTTAATAAAAACTTCACTAGTTTACCACAAAACTGGTCTGTTTGTAATCGTGGCCACGGCAAAGCATCCACAACATCGCACCGTAATTAAAATAAATTGCAAATTAGTTTAATTGATACATTTCGTTTGGAACCGTTAAAATTGTTTTATTTGAATCAAGCATGTTTCAGATTAATTAAACATGATTAAGAAATGTCTGACCTGTGGCCCATAGTCATACATCATTACCAACTAGCTCGTCATAATATTTGCAGTATACCTGTAATATGACGTCACCACGTTGTAGACGACCGTCTCTTGCCGCGACACTGTCATTGTAGACAGCTGAGATGTAACTTTGTCCTGAATCCGGATGGCTTTGAACGCTGAAGCCCAATCGACTGTTCCAACCACGATTTAGTTCTACAGTCACAATCTGAAAATAGATTGATATAATTAGCTGGGATTGGTTAAACCATAAACTATGTAAACATAGATAGATAGATAGTCTATGATTGAAGTGAAAACAAAAATAAATTAAAAAAGATTCATGTCGTTGTGTTCTATTTTTAAAGTACGAACAGAGAAAAGTAGTAGTTTTTTTTATTTTTATAGCTCTTTCACCTTATCTATATATAGGCTTAGTATTATTATATGAATTAAGAAATTTGTTTTTTACGTTAATTTTAACTCTAACATAGGAGTTAATATGACAATAACGAGATGAAAAATAAAAAATTGACGACATTTAAGTTCTTTTCAATATACTGTCTATAGTTTACGCGAGTAGTACACATTTAAATAAAACACTTTAACGGTTTAAAACGCGATATATTAGTTAAACTTATTTGAAAATGATTTTTAACTTCGGCCCGACGTTTCGGATGCTTTGCAGCAGCCGTGGTTTCGGGGAGACTGGGAAAAAGGGGGGGACTCGGGCCGAAGTAAAAATAATGTTCAAATAAGTTTAACTAATACATCGCGTTTTAAACCGTTAAAGTGTTTTATTTAAATTATTTTCAATATATTCATATTTCGTAATTGTAAGTTTTTGTAACATGCGAGAAACAATTAGTTTCAAACAGAAATGTATTGAAATGAAAGCTAGAATACTTGCCGTAGGTGCTTCAGTAGAAGCCGGCTCAGCTGGTTCAGGTTTTATATTCTCCTTTTGGACGACTTCAGTTTGTACTGGTTTAGGAAGCACATCGGTTACAAGTGGTTTAACTTTTCGTTCGTTATCTGGAGATAGTGCGACGCCCTTCCACTTCTTTAGACCGTTACCTGTAATTTAAAGTAAAAATGAACTATTTCTCGAGTCTCAGTCAATTGTGGATTTACTTTGTAAAAGTAAAGTTATTAGGATTTTGCAATTAAAGGGTGAAATAGGATTAGTACGACTCTGAGCCACCAGGTTGTTTGTAATAAAATTGTTACCTTGTAATTCGATACGTTGTAATTTTGATATATTATGCTGGCATATATGTTTTTTTAAGCTTCTAATACAGCCATTAAAAGACAGCATAATATTTTAATTAAAAATCGATTTAGATTGAACAAAATCAAGGACAGCTCTAACTAATTCAGCTACCACGTATCGCTCATCATTATCGAATTTCTTCAACCATACGCGAAAGGCCCGCGCAAATTCGATCTTAACACTTGCATATTAAGGTTCAATTGTTAATGTAAAAATTACATTGCAAGAGAGGTGTATGTATCATGTACACGGTGATGGTTGATAAAATTCGACGGTGACGTGTAAGACTCGGTAGCTCAATTGGTTAGAGCAACAACACGAAACGCCGGTCCAAATCTTGGACGATCTAAAATCAATTTTGAATATATATAGTGCCATCATGTGAAAAAGGATTTTTGTATAACCTGGAAAGCAAAGGGCACTTCAACTAAAAATGATTGTTACCGTCATCTTTATCTGAAGCGCTGTCAGTTGTAGAGCTATGTAAAACGGCACTTTGATACGCCGGGTTTGAATGTTTAAATCTTTCATCAGTGGACATTAACTCAGCTGGCATAGAAACTGGTTCGTCCGAATCGACAGGGAAGGCCGGTTCGTTGTATCTCTGTCTAGGATCCTCTTGATATGCATTGGGAGCATCTAAAGTATCATTGTCCAGATTGTTTAGTTCATAGTTTTGTGGTATCACTGAAAGAAGAACATTATTGAATAATTCTACAACACTCTTTTTCCCGTTGTGATGAGGAATGGTTTTATGGACCTCATGGCTGATATTTACATTACAACTACAGGTGTGTGAATTTAGTGTTGCGATGCTTATATAAGATAGTTAAAAGCCACAATTTTGTATGCTGATTGAAATAAATAGCCTTTCAAGTTTCTAATAAATACGTCGCTATTTTAAGATAAGCAAAAATCGCAAGCCTAAAGTTGAAATGAAATTTTGTTATCATAAATCTTTGCTATATGTACTTCATAAATCTCAATAATACTATTCTTCACACAATGATGTTATAAAAGCTAAGTTCTATTTTTCGTTAACTAAAAGCCTTTTAACATTTATTAGCAATACTACGAGCTACTTTGCTATATAGGTTGTGTACTATAGGCAAATATTTGGAATTAAAAAGGTCTAAATAACTACAATTTCTTAAACTATTTCCGAGGGCATAGCAGGTCACCATAATTCAATCTCTGGTAACTGATTTGGCGGATAAGCCGCTGACTGAAGATCATGCTCGTTTTGGTACAGTAAATATTTTATCATTAAAACTGGTCCAGGTTTCTCGATGTTTTTAATATCACAGATTCGGTCCGAATAAAGTCTTCAATCAGCGTGTGATGAAATGATGTCACGGTAGGAGGGTGGTCGCCGACAGTGTCTCACCTGTCAGGCTAAGCTTTTGATCTCTACAAGAAGGCGGAGTCGTGGGACTTGTAAGCACAGGCCTTTTTAACTTTGTTTCGTTACCAACTTGAATTAATTGCTTATTCATATCATCAAATCTTTCATCTTCCGAACCGATTACTAAAGATTTTGGTCTTTCGGGACCAAAATCTCTCTTTTGTGTATCTTCAACTTTAGCGTCTTTATGTGATACCAGTTGTGGTGGTACTGGTGTATTATGTTCTACACTTTTAATAGCTTCCATACCTGAATTTGTTTCATTCTCTTTTTCCAAAGATATTGGACCGCTAATGGTTCTTGATTTAAATCTCTTAGAAAGAAGTCGCTTTCGGATTGAATGAGATCGTGTAAAACGTTGGGTCTTTGATCTTTGAATTGTTTTTTTAGGTTTTGGAAAATCTTTTGATTCTTGTACATTTTCGTAAATATTGTTTGAATAACTTTTGCAAGCTTCTTGTGTGATTGAAGAAAGACGTTTATCATTATGAAGTTTTTTCATCTCTTCAGAACATGTACATGTTATTGGTTCTTCGGCAGGCATTTTATCTTCATTTTCGTATTCCAAACGATCATTGGACGCCTGTGCTTCTTTAAATTTCATGCTGAGTGGATGGACGATATTTTCATAGTAGTTTTCAATAAAGAATTTATTTAAATATGTTGTTATCATGTTATCTTCCCTTATTGAATGATATTCTGATGTTAGTTTGGCGTCACTTGGAATTGATACAGACTTTTTCAATGGCTTTAAATCTTTATCATTTAACTTTGTTACACATATAGCTTTATCCTGTGTAGTATCGTCATCTGTTTTATTCGAACAGTCTGCTGGTAACGAATTTTGTTTTCCTGCTTCTAGGAGAGATTTCTTAGCCCCTTTCTTCCTTGGTGGCCTTGATGGCGCTATGTCTTGTATATCTGCATTATTTGCTATCATTTGGTTCATTTCTTTATATTTGGCTTGAGCTTTTTTGTTATTTAATTGTGCAACACACGTGCACCCTATAAGTTTATCTGCGGGTGGAGCTTCTTCTAGGTAAACTGTAGAGTTTGTTATACTAGTAATTATTAAATTGCTTTCTCCAGCGAGCTGACTTGTTCTTCTTATATCTGTGCCAAAAATTCTGGAGTCTTAGTGCGTTGCGTGTTAAATAAGCATTATAAATAAAACCTCTTCGAGATACGACAGTCTCGTTTATAAGCAAAATTATTTTTATTTATTAAAAGCAAGTATCACGTGCCAATCATACGCATGTCAATTATAATAATATAACTACGTTTAAATTCTATAACAACAACGATATTCACCTAAATAATCAATAAGTAATTGTTTTTAACGCAAAAAAAAATCAATTTACAGATAACATAAGATAAGGTTATACACTAATGTTTTTTCTTAGTTGTATGTAGGTACTTTGAGTTTAATAAGTTTTTAATACTTTTCTCGTTATTAACTAACCATTTGGCTGTTCATAATGATTATTATCCTTGGTGAGTTTCCTGAATTTTCGAGGAGAAAGACACGGGGATCGTGATCCATCGGCTGCATCTGGGGTGAGGCGACGAGCTGCTAAATCACACAGCATCGATACAGCCTCCGCTCTGAAATATATTTAGAGAATATTAAATAAGGCTTTGATGTGGAAGATGACGAGTTCTATATTAAAACTATGAATCCCTATAGACTTTCACTTAAGAGTGTTCGGCAGCACTAAACTATGCTCTTTAAGTTACGATTGAAAACAAAAATATTTTAGATCGAAAAGAAAAATTACTTGAACCTCCATCCACACCGTTCTGTAGCTCCAGTCGATTCAAGTACTGTTCGCGTCGTTATTTTTTTTTCAATCTAAATTCGATCTGCCATCATGTGCATGTGAAAATTTTTAAAGTTAAAGCCTTACAACTTTTTAACGAAAGTATTGAAAAAGAAATCAATACTTATTAAGATAAATTAATTTGTAATAAGTTAAATCAGAATTGCTACCTTAAGGGCGGTTTAGGTTTGTTCAATGGTGGATCGGAATCGGTAGGCCCTTCTTCCTTTGGCGACATCGGTGACAACGGTGTAGCTGCGTGGTCACGGTACAGGCGCAGCCTGACTTCAGAACCGCACGCCCTGAGAAATGCAACTGCTTCTGCGTGCGACATATTTGACATGGACGTGTCGTTGACCTGGAAAATTAAATTAGACTACTAAAGATACAATTTATATAAGGCATCGGGTTGTCTTATTATATGTTTATTAAGGTTTATTAAAATGATTTATTATTTACGAAAAGTAGGTGAGCAGTTAAAAGGATCCTAAGAAAAAGCCACTTAATATAAAATTATATTGTAAAAATTCCTGATAAAAATTAATCTATCATGGTCACTACTGTAAAACTTAAAATCTATAAGCCGGTTTTATGTTGGTAAGAAATAGTAATTAACATATATTTTAGTATCTACTTTATTTACTAATTTAAGGATAAGAATTCTTTAAAAAAATACATTTACATACTTTTATGTGCGTAAACGCGAAGTGTTTCTCATTTCAAACTGTTTTCATTTAAATGTGTACTACGCGCGTAAACTATAGACAAAAGACAAGTTACATATTAAGTCCCTTACCGCAACAATCCTATCTCCTGGTTGAATACGGCCATCGCTTAGCGCCGGTTCCCGCACCAAGGCCCGGACGTAGTGCCCCAGCGCGCTGTGGTCCTCCTTGCGAAGAGTGAATCCCAAAGAACCATTAACCTTGGTCATCACTATGTCGAACTCCTGAAATGTTTCAATAGAAAACGGTATAAATCAAATTAATTAATACTTACAATGGTGGGTATGTCTGTATACTGAAAAACATCACTAATATAGTGTATTTTTATACTCTATAGAAGGGTATCATCATCTATGTTTTGAAATCGGCCATATTTGTTGTAGATTTTTGCCAAGTAAGAAAAAATACGCGATATGGCCTTTTATGAGCTATGTAGAAATACTTGTGAGTAGTACAGTCTACTTTGTATCAACAGACTTATCTTGGTCTTCTAAATTACTAAAAAAAAATAATCAAGTTTATTTAAGACGAGCTACTGAACTACTCTTCAGTAGTTATCTTGATAAAAGATAATTTCAACGACATTCCGCTGAAACCTTCAAAAGTTTTTTTTACTTTAAAACTTTGGAAGTGTAACGGCAGTGTTAATTTACCATTACTCGACACGCCACGGGCGAAGTTCTACGACGAAGTTTTAAAGAGTAGGAGGACCTTATTTTTGATTAAATTTCACTGTAGCAGAACGCTGGCTATGTACAGCAAAAACGTTGCAATATCATACTAGTGGGGGACCAAGGGTTTCTTGTTTCCATGGCAACTGGACACCAAAATAATAAATTGAATGGGTTTTGTACAAGGGTTTGATGTGGACACGTTATTAGGACTTTGCAGTCCGTCCGTCTGTTTCATTAATGTTAGACAGTTGATGTTTCCACGGATTATATATTTGAGAAAGAGAAGATGGGACTAACAAAATTAAAACACGTAAATGGGACTAACCATCAAGAAATCATTAGTTAAATTCTCATTTAAATAAAAAGTGAATCGCATAAAAATCTTAACTTATGTAAACGAGTAATAAACTAGCTCGCTCGCTCGCTTTTATTCGCAAAACAGCAGAGATTTAAATGAGACAAACATTTTTGTGTCACGTCACGTCGCTTAGACTAATATTGCAAAGGTAAATTGAATATTCTCGCAGGAAATGTTTTTTTAAGTTCCACAGTAACTTTGTACATAGCTTGTGGCACTAATTCAATGATTAAAGTGGTACTGTAGAAGTATTAAACATTATTTATTTGAATTACGATTATTACGATTTACCTAATTACAATTCATAGTCTTTACAATAGTTTTATTTCCCGATAAACCTCCCATGTAAGGGATGGACCGTACGGCATTTGAAACTTCCATTAACTAAATACTGTGCTGTCGGTTTTTGCCGAAGCTATTACGATATTTCACTTACCACCGATCCATCATCCTGTGAAGCGTGAACAGAGAACATTATTAATTGCAAGGGAGGGGTACTAGCTGTATTAATTACTTATACAGGATTATTTTTTAAATAGAAATTTCACAATTTCCTCAATACACAGTTATCGCAGTCCAAAATACAATAAATACTATCTCAGTGATAATGCGCGTTTAATTCAGAAATTCTTGTTGCGTGGCGACAAATAATCCTGTACAATTTTATCGTATAGCTAATATAAATACGTGCAATCAATAATAGCGGTGTATTAAAAATTTCCTCCTTATCATTTACTAGGAGTTACACACGAGCCTGTTTAGGACGGTGGAGTTGTGCGAACCATTCAGAATTGCTTACGCAACTATCTAACCAGAAATTTGTATTGAGGTATAACGTCATGGTCAGTACAGTGTCATCATACATTAAACATTGTAAAGTACTGAGACTATCTGATGGTGTTTTATCTGTGGTATAATAGCATAACTGCCTTGTGAGTCGAGTTGTCGTACCGCAGATCACGTGATTCCTGGTTCAAATATTAGTTAAGTTTTTGAAATTTTCTTCGATAACGATAATCAATAAAAAGAGTCCTAAAAATAGAGGGGGTATAATATTGTAAGAAACTATAGCTATACGCTACATTAAAAGCTTTGAAAATATTAGAAAACCCAGTATAGGTTGATAAAAACCATAAACAGTCGGTATTTGAAATATATGTATCTAATATGTCTACAACTGTTGTAGTGAAACAATAGATTTATAAATATCCAAAATTAAGACAATTCGTAAACATATGGTGTATATCCCGTAATGAAATTGCATAATTAACCTAAGCGCCACTCAAAGTTTAATCCGAGCCAACAAACACCAGATAAGAAAATATAATCACCAAACCAGTACACCTGAAAGCCATATAAAATACTAAGCTATATTTACAACGGTAATTCCGTATTTTACAAGAGCCCCAGTGCAAGTAACATGAGCTATTATAATTATTGTGAAGCCCGGGGACTTTATGCGCACTTTAATTATGTAAATTGACCTAGGGACATTCAGCTCTAGCGAATGCTGTATGAATAAATGATGGATGGAAGATGGACACGTAATGCGGCCGCTTGTAATCGTTAATGGTACGAAATTACAGCTTCGTGCGACATCGAGTAGTTTTAAAAAATACGCTATTAAACGTGTATTTACGATTTTAATGATGTAAGGGCGGAATTCGTATCTTGTTAACCAGAACACAATTGCGTTATCGTCGTAATACTCTGTTACTTTTAACGGTTTAAAAATCGAAATATGTTTCTTTATTTATAACTAGGAGTCGTATTTGACTGTATAAACCGCGAAATAAATTAGATCGACTTATTTAAAAATTAACTACGGCTCGACGTTTCGGATGCTTTGCAGTTGACGTAGCTAAAATTGGGCAAATAATATATTTCACATTTTAAAGTTAACTGTGTTGTATTTATGTGGATTACTCGCTAACTACTTACAATACTTTGCTAAGTAAAATTAAGTGATACAACGAAAACCCTTCACTTATTAACGGTTTCAAAAAGGTTGTAGAAGTAATAACTTATTATATTAAGTTACATTCTATATATTAGCGACTATATTATGGGAGAAGTTCATCCTAGCCATAGTTTACTTAATAATAAGTATAATCTCACCCCGTATTGTATATCGTAAACTGGCAAGGGTCTGTCGAGATCCGGTAACTGCAAGTCAACTCGCCTATCTTCTGGACTCACATCTCTGCGTCCTCTGCCTTCAGATGACGACGTGGTGGCACTGCTTGTTGTTTGCGATAATCTGAAACATTCAAAATGTAAATCCGGCTCAAAGGACCAAAAATTTAAATATGAATCGTAGAAAAGCAACTGCGCAGGGGCATATTGGTATTGCGCTGGCTTACATTATTGCAAGTATAAGAAGCCCTAGCTTCGAAAAGTGACGACGACTTAATAAAATCGCTCAGTAAAACGTACAAAGAATGTTTCAACCATTTACTCGATTTAGAGCTTATGTATGGTTCCCTTACCTGGCATGTAAAGGATGGCAATTAAGTGGGTCTAATGGCAAGTGAGGTGGATGTGGGGTCCTCGCTGGTGGAGTGGGTGGATCTGGTGGTGTGATACTCTCGAGTACGTCACTTGGAGGTCGACAGACTCGTAATTCTACGCGGGCGGCAGCTGTCCGTAGAACTTCTAATGCTTCCTGAATAGAGAGATTCACTACTATATTTATGAATGAACTTGCATTCTGCTATAACATTGTTATGGCTATTATTGATCGTAATAGCAACCACGATTTTTTGTTTATTTTCACTTACGTGTGGCACTGCTGTCCACACTCTAATGACATACTCAATCAGTTTTAGTTCAACAAAGGGCCTGATATAAGCTGAGTAAGATCCTATTCTATCAACTATTAGCACGCAACATTATTTTATACTGTTAAGATTAAATTATAATATTTATTTTTATGGTTAGTAATAAGTTTTATATGTATATATAAATAAAACACTTTAACGGTTTAAAACGTGATATATTAGTGAAACTTATTTGAAAATGATTTTTAACTTCGGTGCGACGTTTCGGATATTTCATTTAAATGTGTACTACTCGCGTAAACTATAGACAGTATTTAAGTCTTATATATGTTTTTGTTTGCCTAATAGTAGTAGTAAATAAATTTATTTCTCTCTCTCTCTAATAATTGGATTTGACGAGTATTAGTGTTAGGTGTAAATTGCACCTCAGTAAAAAACGTAAAAATCGAAACACAAGTGTCACATCTTGAAAGGAATTAAATGTTATTTAACTTACTAAAAGTTACTTATAGTAAATATAGTATTATTTGAAAAGTAAATAACATCGCTCTTTGAAGTTATGGCAAAATGCCGGATACAATATAGCCTAAAATTTACGTACCACAGTATTTTATTGAGTGGAAAGTTAAGGTAAGTTTTAATGCACTGTCTGTGGTTTACGCGAGTAGTACACATTTTAGTAAAAGACTTTTAACGGTTTAAAACGCGAAATGTATTAGTTAAACTTGTTTACAATTTAATCTCCCCGTGCCCATAACTGTTCCAAAGCATCCGTAATGCAGTCCATAAATAAGTTTAATTAATATATTTCGCGTTTTCAATAGTTTAGTCTTTTATTTAAATGCTTTTCATGCTGTATGAAACCATCGATAAGCATTTTAATAAAAGAGCTGAATATAATGTAATTTAATACCTTTGCTATATTTTCAGTAACAGATCAATAATGCAACGACTAAAGATTTACGTCACAAACACGTAATCTAATTTGCAATGACGTACATAAAAAAGAATCACGGTATCCATTTATTAACCTTTATAATACATTTTGCTTCCATGAGATAAAAATAGATTTTTTAATAGCCACGTGATATTAATAACTATGTTTGGGGGAATTATGTTGAGGGGGGAAACGAGTTTTCACATTTAACAAAAAAAAGTGAAATCCCGTTTCACCTCTTGCGCATGAGGCGAATATATTTCTGTGTCCGATTCACTGATGATTTTTTATTTAAATGCAGGTAGTTGATCATACTTCTATGCCCTGCTCGACCGAAACAATTTACTGTTTCCCCGGGATTCGAACCCAGGTTCTCTCGCGCTTGACGCAATGCTAGGAAACACGTTTACCCATTTAGCTATAGAGGCGGTCTTTAGTAACAAAATGTATTTAAATATATATATAATTCGTCTGCTTTATTCTGTAATCTATCCATTTCTGAAGATCAAAAAACACAAACTATCTAGAATTTCCCACGACCAAGCTCACTGAACATAAATCAATTTCACAGTGGTCGAACTATAAGTCACGGACATATAAAAATCGTGCTTAATTCCGACGTTTACCTAAAGATTAGGTTTAATCGCGTCTGGATTATCGTATTACTAGTCAGAAGCTAATCGCATTGAGAACCGTGAAAGCTAAGACGCACTCTTAACGTTTTAATCCAAATTGACCAGTACAATACAGCTTAATGAAACATTGAGCTGTACAGACTTTCACTTCACTAGCTTCGTTAGCTTAAAAATAGCTTTATCGCAGAACTAGCTGACCTGGTACACGTTGTTTTTCCATATGAAGTATTTCGACGAAATTTAAGTCCCATAATAACGGTTCTTGTGATAAACTACCTTCTAATTAGCAGAAACATATTTTTTCAATTCGGTTCAGTCCCTGAGATTCCAGATCCCAAACAAACAAACTCTTCAGCTCTGTTATATTAGTATAGATTATTTTTATAATTATACTTAGTACCTACAAATTTGAGAAGTTTACCTTTTTCTTGTCAGGAATTCGTTATTGATTTGAAAGGCTATCTATTCCAAAATATATTTTTTCTTGAATATGACGATGTCATTGGCAATGGATAAGTAAATACTTATAAAATTTGATGGCATTTAATCTAAGCTTCATGGATTCATAGATAAAAGTTATGTTGCTCTTTTGAACACTCTGTAGAAACACGACGAACAGACAGACAAACGAAAAAAAAATTGACGAATCTAAATATTTTTTTAATTTTAAAGAGAATAAAGTATATTTTATTTTTAAAAGGATTCTTATTGGAACTAAATAATACTCTTCGCAATAATTGAAACGAAAAGAACAGGTAAAGCAATTATAGGTAATAGAGAATTTCTAAACTGGAATAGTATAAAGGTTCATTAAACTTAACAAGAAGTGCCTTAATGGCAGTTACATATAAAGAATGAAGTTAACAATGTAGGATCATTTAAATAAAACATTTTAACGGTTTAAAACGCGATATATTAGTTAAACTTATTTGACAATGATTTTTAACTTCGGCCCGACGTTTCGGATGCTTTGCAGCAGCCGTGGTCACGGGGAGACTGCTAAGAGTTTTGTTTACTACTCGCGTAAGCTATAGACAGTATGTAGTGTAGGATCATACCGCATAATATAAGCATAAAGTTTAACGACAATCATAAACGACGACGATCAGATACTTTAGAAAATTCATGTTGCTTTAAGTTAAGAGCAAACAATATAATTCTGAATTGGAAATCAATAATGAGTCGCACCCTATGTCTGGCAGGAGTACGATAATAGCAATTACTGCTTTACATAAAGTAAAACTATCTGGATTGATTTGCACTTATTTTTTAATTCAATTTATCCTAGTCTCAGAAACAAAAAGGTGTTTGGGAAAAATTATTGAATGCAGATCGTCATTCTTATGTATTTGTCGTCTAATTAGATTGTACCAATCAAATAATTCCTCGACTCTAGTGTGAAACAATTTAAGTAATAGTTCGAGAAAAACACATGATGTTTCAGAATACTGTCTAAAATATGTGTTGCGATCTATACTTACTGTACTATAATTCCTGTGATTTCTTTAATTGATCTCATGTAATAATTCGATTACTTTCATGTTCTAACATTAATCAAAGTTAACTATGCAATAATTATTATCGCTAGGATCAATTAGGAATTATGCGTAAACAATCGACCAGACGATATCATTCGATCGGTTGTAGACATTCAATTTAATATAATTAAGGATTGTATCTCATAAGTGTCTGAAAATACATGTTTTCTTAAGCAAGTGTAGTTTCATTTACCACCCTAATGCGATCCGGGGTCATTATAAAATGTCATAAAATCTAATCAGACTAATATATAAAGTTGAAGAGTGTTTTGTTTGTTTGAACGCGATAATCTCAGGAACTACTGGTTGGATTTGAAAAAAATCACTTTGTATTAGTTAGAGCATTTATCGCATGGAATTATGGAAGGCTATAAAACGTGTCGATGTAACTTATAAGAGCGAAGAAACAGCGGGATAGGTGAAAAAAAAACGGAGAAAATTATTGATTCTTGTGGGGTTCCGTTACGTACACTGCGAATGTGTTTCAAGATACCCAAAAAATATGTATGATAGAATGATTCCTTTTAAAATTATGTAAAAAAATGTCCGCGACAGTATATGTCTATCTTTGAAGATTAACTGACAAGAAAGACGAGACGCGTGGGTAGCGGCTTAAATCTAGAGTTGAACAGAAGGTTTGCAAAAACAATTTTTCGTGCCCAAAACGCGGCAAATTCTACGCGGACGAAGTCGGCCTACTATTTTGTCTATCATTGCTGTTATAGTCGCCTACTTATCAGACAAAGATAAATACCATAAATTTTATGAAGGTTCAAGACAACAGCTAAGCTATTTGGATAAAACCCAAATGTCGCTGACGTCATACATCGGCGTCCATTGTTCCATGAAGTGGCTACGTAATCGCAGAAACGTCCCAGAAATGTTCGACTCGATAGCTCACTTCTACTTAATTAAAGAACAGCCGAAGTTTTCTTCAAACATAACTTCCGCAGATAGTTCTGAGAACATAAGCGTGTTTAATTAAGGCTGAACTAATTCGGACGGTGCAGTTTAATGTTGATTGCCGTAATAAAGTTTCAGACGCTATTTGTCTTCGCATTTCCCCTAAAAATGTCGATCGGTCGATCTTTCCATTGGTGCTCTATTTGCCGAGCAAGTAATATAAATCTATGGGAAAATATTGTATGTGTCTTATTTATAGGAGCATAGTTTATTATATTTTTTTGTCACGCCTACCCACTAAATAAGTTTTATATGTCTTTTCTCCTGTACTTCAGATTGCCTCGAAGAGATCGCTACTTGGCGATAAGGCCGTCTTTTATTTATAAGCTAAAACGTAAGATTTTTCCTCATTGATATTTTTTTTCTGTCGTGTGTTTTATAGATAATAAAGCAATAATAAAAAACTAAATATAAAATAATTTTAATGTATAAGTGTGATTCTGTTAAGCGTTAGCGTGACAAATGTAATAGACAAAATGTTAAACAACCTCGCTATGCTATATGCAGGGATCGTTGGTCCATTAGCAACGATAAAGGAATGTCGATTATAATCCGGCGATTTCTATAAATTTAAAAATAGGCCGACGACTTATTATTTAAAAAGTCTACAGAACTAAGCTATGATTATTAGAATCATAGTATAAACAGAGGATATCTGAGAGAAATCCTAAAAATTAAGGTTGTAAATATGCAGATAGTAAACAGTTAAAAGTGTTTTATTCAATGTATAACGCTCGCGTTAACTACTGACAATACTCAGTTAACAGTAGTAAACACGAGCCAGTTTCTATCAATAGAACTACCATTTTTTTCGAAAAGCGAATACAATTTATTTAGTTTTCAGTGACATTTAGACAAGTAAAAGCGACATCGTGTATTTCATAATTACTTTGAATAATAAAAACTCTTTAACTCTTCAATGTAATTAATTTGTATTTCATGTTAATTATATCAGTGGTAAAGTTAATTATTCCACTCAAATTAACCGTTTCCCACAGAGATAGGCAATTAATTATTAAAATTGACACCTCACAGACCAAATCAGTTGATCAAGCGCATTACGAAATAGCCAGCACTGACCCTTCTTGATATTCCGACCTATATTGAATTATATAAATCACTATGCATTGGTTCTGTAGCTCTATGGTTAAATGTATTGCCTATAACTGTGAATAATAGGTTCGAGTAAACATAAAAAATTATAGTAAAAACCGGCCAGGCGCCTATAAATGAAATGAATCAATGAAGCGAACACAAAATGCTCGCCCCGTGCCCCGTAGGGATTTCACCTACTCGTATATAGCTTATATCATATCGCTTTCAAGAACCAACTTTATATTTGAATATTTATGTCAATATAATATTAAGAATTGTACAGCTATAATTTTAAAGTATGACGATTTATTACGATTGTTTTAACATTTTGTTGTAAATTCATAAAATAAACAATGCCTAGTTATTTAATAGAGCAATTAAGGCCAACATAATCGAATGTGCCATATTTTATGTCGCAACGATTTTATTAAATTGTGTACGCAGTAACGTAATCTCGCGCGCCGCCGACCGACGATGAGAAAATATTATTGAATTCCGACAGTGTCCGCAAATGATATTGGATTTTTATTTTATCAATTTTATTTCTCACTTCTCTATTTACAGGAATTCCAATTTTAAAAGCCAGTTGCTGTCGTGTTACAAATAGGAGGTAGTTTTGTTTCACGCACTGTACTGCTAACTGCAAATTCGAAATTTAAAAATATACCTGCAAAATTGACGAGTAATTTTCCGATAGTTATTTTTAAAATTCGAATACTTTGTCTAGAATCTATACTACAATATAATATAAAGCGTTTGTTTGTTTGGCAATCTTCATAACTACTAGTTCTAATTGAAAAGTTCTTTTTGCGTTGCGAAAACGGTTTAAGAAATGAAAATATATCCAAACTAAATAAAAAAGATAGAAGCCAAGCGGACGACAAAACACCTAAAATTTTATGAAGGTGCAGAGGTTTTTCAAATTTTGATGACCAAAATAATTATCTTTCGACGACAAACTCGCGACCATATATCTACAATTCCTTGTAGTGTGTTATAATATTTTCGCACGCGAGCATTTCATTGAACAACCTCACGAGCTCGCCTACTAAATAATTAAATCCAAAGGTCAATAACGGAATCAAAACACAGGTCACGATACTAGCGACATGTGTTTACAGATTTCTGCTTACGAAGTTTGTAGATCCTCAAACATCGGCCGAGTACGTGACGAGATTGATGAAAGAGCCAGATACAAGATCGCAACAATAAATTCGGAGGCCGTTCGCCAATAGTTAGAACAATGGTATCAGTGTCGTGGGGGAGGGGGTTTTGTAGATCCTCTAACATGACAAAAGAATTGTATTATGGTCGTCATATTGAGGGCAATGCATCTCTCTCTAATGATAACTAGTGTAGCTTAAGCTAAGTCACACACACATTTTAAAGTCATCTAAGCAAACAAGCAGAGGCCTTTTGAAGAACAATCTTTCAAAATATGTTGAATTTAATGAAATAAAATAAAAATAAGATATACTTTATTCTCTTTCAAATTTTTAAAACTATTTAGATTCGTCAAAAAAATATTTTTTTTGTTTGTCTGCCTGTTCGTCGTGATTCTACAGAGTATTCAAATGAGAAACATAACTCTGAAGAACACCCAAGAAACTCAGTCCAGCTTAAATATGTCTTATAAACTAATACATTTATTAACAGGAGCAATTCATATCATATCTTCAACTTTTTTTTTTTAAAGCCAAAAATAGATTTGAGATATTTTATGACAGAGGTATTTTTATCTGTTTTACTAATTTATAACCGAATTTCTAAAGCAATATAGCGCATCTAGTTGATTTGTTATACGGCTGGAGTATTTCACCGTTTATCAAGCGAACCTTATGCTTGTCTGTCCTTCTTTAGCATAAAAAAATAAGATGTTGTCCTATTTAAATTATACACTTTAACGGTTTAAAACGCGATATATATTAGTTAAACTTATTTGAAGAAGAGACACTGCTGCAAAGCATCCGAAATGTCGGGCCGTGGTTAAAATAATTTTCTAATAAGTTTAACTAATATATATATCGCGTTTTAAACCGTTAAATGGATTTCTTTAACTTACTACTCGCGTAAACTAGAGACAGTATTTGTTGTCCTATTTTCAATTTGACGTCAGGTACTCCGCCCGACGATCATAAACACAATTATTTCGATGTAGACTGTTCTTAAATAATTCTACAAGATCATGAAAAGTCTTTAATATATAAAGAGATATAAAGCGGAGCGAGTTTTTCTCTTTCATCGCTCGCACCTAATCAAATATCAATTTGAGTTATATTTGCATTATAAAATACGTCGCACTTAACAGTTTATGTTTCGCGATGGACTCGGCGTTGGCGTTTTCATAAAAGTTTTTACGTTTATCGCCATGCCTCGCAGTCGGAAGTACGGCTACAACAAATTCCAATTGTAAAGATGGCTCAATGTTTATTCTGTTGATGGGTTATTTTTATAGTTCGCTTTATAGCTGGAATTGCTGTTGTTATATTTAACAAAGGATTTCTCATTTTCATTTTTATCGCCGTAAGTAGGGTGCGGGGTGAAGCTGCGCAATTAAATTCAACTAAGGCCCGTTGCGCCGCGTAAATGTTTGTGTGTTTCGTGAATTATTTTAATTAAAAAACAGTTTAATCTTCATAGCTGTAATATGTAGATGTCATATACATACTTTATAGGAAATTTGTTGCTACTGCTACTGTGTAGAAAGTAATGTAACCTATATTCAAGTACTAAATACAGTTCTTTCTCCTCTTTACCTTACCTCTCTCTCTACCTAAGCTTTCTGATCGAAAAAAATAAAGTCTTCGGATTTGTTTCTTTCCCAAATTTTGTGTATATTTTATAAAAAATATTGCATAATAATCAAGAATTGACATTTTTATTTCTATATTATTTTCTGACTTGAAGCGCTGTTCTTTTGTCTAAGTTACAAATAATTTAACATAACCTAATTTTGTTAAAAAAAAAACTTACATATGTACTAAGTCCTGCAAGGGGCACACCATTCGCAGAGAGCAGCAGGTCCCTTGGAGCTAGTTGTCCGGTTCTCCAGGCTGGTTGTGGGGGGTACAACCTTCGGATCCTCACCAGGCCACCGCCGCCACAAACTGACATACCTAACCCACGCCCATCCTTCTCGACTACCACGGTAAATGTATTATCTGTAACGAGAACAATAAAGATTAACAAATTAATCCTAGAAAACCTTGAAAAAAACTTATCAATGAAATAAAAATGTAACTGAACACTGTCTGTACATAGATGATATTATATGATAAAAATATCCGAAACAATTACTTTTGGAATTCTCTTCTGATTGTCTGACGCTAGTCTCAGAAATGGCTTTTCTGATGTAGATGTGGTTTTCAGTACTACGTTTATTTTTACTTAACAATTAGTGTTTATGTTTAATGTCGCCTATCACCATGTATAATTTAGCATTATACATGTTATTTCAAGCCCGACATTGTGTGGTTAGAACAGCAGGTGTCAATATAGTGCCTTTTATAGAAAACAGCCAGAGGCGGAGGCCTGTTTGGTGTGTTTACAATGTCCCCTCTCTGTTGGTTTAGGATTCCCTTACTCTTAACTATATCAGAGGTTAAGGACAATGTTATTACTAGTATATTTATGATTAATAAAGGGTTAGATTTCTACTATATATGATGTATTTATGCAGTTTTACTGTTTTTAGAAAACCTACCTACCAAGAAGATATACAAAGTCTAAATAGTCAAATCTCGTAGGAGTAAAAAGTATTAAATATTTATCTTTAATGAAAGTACAAGGAGATTTTATATGCAAAATTGTTTGGTCAAAGTTGGTACACATGTGCCGTTCCAACATACGTCATAGAAAGCGATGATATATCGCTTCGAACATAGGTGGTAGTCTGATTGATATTTGATTACACTCATCAAATATTCCGAAATGGAACACGGAAAATGCTGAGTCACGGTCAATATCCTTTTCACCCAAAACCCAGGAGCTGTTAAGGGATGTTTAGATACATGAATTAAACATTACCGTAATATTGAATTCACCCGATGGCCGCTGGAATATTGTACATTTTAAAAGGTTCTTATGATTTATATTTTCCGAATATCCAAAGCAAAATAGGTCGACAGCGTATTATATGTCTCTCCTCTCTGTCTCTCTCTACCTCTTCTTCCATAAAAAAAAATCTCTTTGCGATATTAAATAAAACATGGCCGTTGAAACTTTATCTAAAATAATGGATTTACTTTGATATTCGAGATCCTTTTTATGAGAAACATATAAAACACACATAACTGTTTAAAACGTGAAATATATTATCTATTTTAATTTACTTTAACTACGTTTCAGATACTTTCAGCACCTTTGCGTGTTTTATTGAAATAATAAAGCAACTTTTGTGGTTTCATATCAAATCTACATAAGTTACATATACCTATAGAAAGTTCCAAATGTACTTGTTAATTTTAAAAACGATATTGTCGTCGTTATATTTTGGGTAAAATACATCAAAACCAAACCTAATCTGAACATTATATATCTGGCATGATAAAAATAAGTATATATATAAGTAATCATAAAAGAATTTGAAAATTCGGACGCTGTCAATAGTAAGTGTTTTATCTAAATAATAGAACAAAATTTGTATTTCCGTGAATATCAAACAGGTCACTCGAGTTCTGGTACTAGATTCGATGAGTTAGAGCAAACTTAGAAAGACCACTTTGGAGCGAACTCAATTTGCTTTCAACGCCAGCTCAATTCTCCGAGGTGTAGCTATGTCTGCGGATATCACTTTGCGATAACGAATCCATTGTGGCCAATTGTGTACCAAGTTATCCAATATCAAAGGTTCTAGTGGTATTCGAATCTGGATGGAGAAAGAGGAATACGCAATACAAACGTAGTAAGGATTAGCTCGAACTAGCTGATCCGGAAAACGCTGTTCTATTGTTTGTTAGATTTACATTCTATACCAATATAATTAGTATAGAGATATTGAAAGATCTATACGTTATGCCCTTATTATTATCATCTACTATTGTGAATCTCTCTTCAGGGTTGCCTGGAAGAAATCGCGTTTTAACGATAAGGCCGCATTTTCTCGCTACATTTTGGATTTTTTAAATGAAGTTTTATTTTGTAACGTTGTGGTGACAATAAAGTATTTTTTGTTTGTCTGTTTTTATTTCTGAATATTAAAAACTATATTGTCGTTGTATTATATTGGACAAAATACGTTAAAGCCAAATTCCGTACCAAATACAAGCTTGATACTATATAAAATATAAGAAATAAATAGTAAACTGGAAAAGTCTTAGAAAAATGTTTAACACAAATCATATGGTATCACAAATTTCTTGGATTTCTCTGGTTAGAACGTTGTCAAGCTGTGTGATAAATTGTGACCAGCTAACTTTGGCAATAACGAAACTACGAATAAGAGACATTTAGCTCTTGTCTTCCTAACAAATAGATTTTTGACATATTTTTACTTGTAACTAAGGGAAAGCAGGGTAATTTTAATCTTTTAGATGTCTAGTTAAGTTTTCTATAAAAGTGTATTCAATTTGAGAGTTGAGTTCCGATAAAATAGTATTTAAACTTTAAATAATTTAAATAAAATTTATAATATGTTGTACCACTACAATATTAAGAGCTTCGTAACTAAATTAAAAAATATGTTCAGTGACACTGAATTGGCCTAATTTTCAATATAAAAATACCTACGAGGGATTATTCGATTTCAAATCGTCGTTTTCCATAACAGACGGCAATAAACAAACAATGGATGGCATAACATTTAAGCGCGGCAGTAAATTCCAGAGTAATGAAAGCAATATGGCCGACAGCTTTTTTTCGAGCATAGAAAACGCAATTCGGTTATCCCGGGAAAAGGCAGCCGGGAAGCGCATCATTAGCGCGATATAAAATATAAATGAGGCACCGAGATATTTGCGAACGAGCAAACGAAACCATTTTGCGCTGGCAATTGTAGAAATTCTCTTTTCATTTTTCATTTTAAATCTTTTATTAGGGTTCTCAAGTGTCGCCCTTCAACGCTGATAGCTAATTACCTTGTTAATTAGCGATAGTTCCTTGTAACGTGAAAATAAGGGTGACGTTACAAAACATGAAGAAAGCCATCAAAACGCTATCATACATATTTTTCTACAGAAAAAGCTCAAATCTTACAGAATATAAAGGTAGGTAGAATATAAACCTCAGGTTTATATATTAAATTGAAACCCTTTATTATCTCGATTATATATCTGTGATTGTTATAAGTTGAGCTATAAAAAGAAGATAAATATATAGAACTAAAAATCTATTTAGGCAGAAAATATTTACGACACGCACGGGGTTTGAACTGGCATCCAGGATACAGCACTACACTCTAAGCAATCTAACCAATTGAGCTACTGTATTGATACGATACGCAGTAGTACGGAACGCTATGGATGCCGGTTGAACAATTGAAAGGTGCATAGTAGTTTTTTGACTTTGACATTAATCCTTATTCCCCCGTGACCACTGCTGCTGCAGTGCATCCGAATCGTCTGGCCATAGTTAAATAAATTGTAAATAAGTTAACTTATATATTTTGCGTTTTAAACCGTTAAATTGACGTAATATGTTTTAATTAGTTCTATGTATTTTATTCTTTACATGGCTTATTGGGGGCAATGTCCAATTCAACCATTCTTACTCTACGATGAGTATTTATATCGCCTATTAAAGTTCTTATGCTTCTATATAATATCGCGTGTAAGATACGGATCACTGGCCCACTTCCGCAAACCATACTTAAACATTTCTTCAACGAGCGGAAAGCACCGTGCGTGAAATCTTTAAAACCGCGCCTTTATAACGAGCGGTACTTTGTATTCGAGACAAAAGCGCAATGTACTAGCAAATGCTAGTGGTTTGTTCCCTTATAATAGCACTCTGTATTAATATCACGTGTATATCTTTCATATGTACTTTTATAAGTCATAAAGAGAAACAATTCGTTGGTCATTTCAGAAATTATCAAAAGAGTGTAGGCGATATAGAAAGAGCGACAGATTGGAAAATTATATTTTTAATTAATCTTATCCGTGTAATTAAATCGATTTTAACTGTTTAATACGCGAAATATAATAGTTAATTTATGAATGTATTTTAACTACGGCCCGACGTTGCAAAGGGGTCTAATTTAAAGTGTACTCGCGTTAACTATAGACGACACATAATCTTATCGGAATCTCTGTATGTACAGACTAATCAATTACAATATATAATTATTTGGTTAGCCTAAAGGTTAAGCTTTTATTAAAATAATAAAAGTTACAGTAATTTGAATATTTCGTGACCGTCATGTAAAAGTGTAACGCCGAATACAACAAAATCAATATCTTTGTGTTAATATATGTACAAAAGCAAAATAATGTGTAGTGCTAATTAATACCTTTTTAAATGTGTATGCGCCTTTAAAAGCTGTGTGATTAAAAAGAAATGATACTTTTAATTACAAAATTATCAGGTAAGCTTTGTACAGTGTAATCGATACGAAAAACAATGCAATAGTGATTACACATCGTGTATGGTCATAATGTGTGGTTCTTGTTCGTTGGATAAGAGATTTCTTATTGGAGATGTGTATTAATACTTTAGGTGTTCCGTATCCAAAGAAAAAAACTTATTTTTTTTTTAACTTTACCAGCATATTATCCATGGAACCACGATAGACAAAAACGAATCTATACTAATATTATAAAGCTGAAGAGTTTGTTTGTTTGAACGCGCTAATCTGTAAAAGTACTGGTTTGAATTTAAAAATGATTATGTAACATCTATAACATCAGGCTGCGACCAATAGGAGCGAAAACGGAAGGAAATGTGAAAATTTATTAATCTTTGACGGTTCCCGTTCCGTGTGCTGTGAAAACGGTTCAAGAAATTAAAATATATGTATGATATTATCATTCTTCTTTAAATTATCTAAAAATTATACGCAACGGTATACGAGTATCTTATAAATCTCTTATAAATAAATCTCTTGTAAAATTAACTCGCAAAAATGGCAGGACGCAGCCGAAGTCGTGGGTAACAGCTACATTTTATAAAGCTGAGGAGATTTTTCAAAGATACACATTGATGCCCAAAATAACTATTCCACGCG